ACCGGCTTCCTATTTCACACTAATGAGAGTTACCTAAGCCTTAAACCACCTGGCTTTTAGTTACTTGTTGCCACCAAGGCTCTCGTGTTCTCCCCTTACCCAGACGGGCCTCCCTGCTAACTTTGGGACCGACAGAGGACACTGCTGCCCAAGGATCTAGCTTCTCTGCCTGGAGACCTCCTTGCCCAGGCTTTGCACGCGTATGCATTCCCTCATTCAGGTGTCTGCTCAAAAGTCCTCCGCCAACACAGACCTTCCCTGACAACAAGGTCTAGAAGGATGCCTCCCTCCCACCCCTCCCTTCCATTCACCTGCTGTTTGCTTGGTCACTGACCACTTGACGTTAGACATTCCCCATTCGTGATATAAAGGTCTTTCCTCACGGGGACGGGAATGCTGGGGCGCATTGTTTGCTGCTGAGTTCTCACACACTGGGCGCGGGCATGGGGTAGGCGCTCAGATGGGCACTGACCCAATCACTGCCCTTTACCTGAATGCTGCTTCTCCCTCCCTTCTGTCTCCCCGCCAAACAACCAGGATGGTGGTCCCTGCTCATGCTCTGTTCACAATGGGAACTTGTTAAATGAAGCACAGGGTGAATGATTCAACCTCTCCGCCCAGAAAAACCACACCACTACTGGAGAGTCACTGGTAGGTATCTAAGGAGAGGCTTCGGGAGAACCCACACAACACTCAGGAGGAACGCATTTTCAAAAGAAACAGCACCTGGCTTTATAATAACCCTACTCTGAATGATCAGAAAAGCCACAGGTCACACCATAGTAGTATCTTTGCAAGTCAAGAAATCTTGTGTAACTACCTTTCAAAGGATGCAAGAATAAATGCACATCAAGAGCCTTCTGATGCACTGGTTGTACCTTTATTATGTTTACCTCGTTCACTAAGAGTTCCGTGATGCAAGGTTACCATACACAGTTAGATAATGTCCGCATTGCACATCTAAGGCTATACAGCAAAAGAACGGGAATTAGTACAAATACAAGAACTATATTTACATTCTGTATACTCAAGCTCCAAACATCAGATAATATTTACATAATAAAACATGAAAATGAAAGTCTGAAATTAATAATGTACATTGTTGCTAATGAGCTCAACTCCTTACTGGGGAGAGATCAGTTTGCAAAGTCTTGGTTCAAAAAGGCCACATGTGCTCCACATGTTCCGTGGCAGCACACGCGGATGGTGAGAAGAGACCCGAAATCCCGACGGGTGGCGCCTTGCACGCGAGGCCAACAGAGTCCTCAGGTGAACCGATGCCAGAATGTGCAGCCTGGAAAAAGGGAACTTGAAGACATGAAGACAACACGCAACAGCCAGGGTTTGGCAAGAGACCAACCTCAGCTCGGACTTCCTGAGCACAGCTTTTAACATGAAATTTGCATCAACTCTCATTCTTTCCTTTAAATGATCAGAGGCTTTCCTAAGATTCATGGGGGCTCAAATCTGAATTTCATAAATGGCCTTTTGAACAACCGCAGATAATCTCTCAGCTGACATTGCCATTTCCTAAGGAAGCACCATCAGTACATCCCTGCTACACAGTCATGGTTTGGCCGCACACTGGGGTGAGTCATTACTGGCCATGGTGGACAGCCGCAGTGCACACGAGTCAGAGTCCTCTTGCAAATACATTCAGCAAACCTTCTGAGAGCTGCAGCAGAATTAGTGTCTTCTTTTTAAGGAGCAGGTTAACAATCACGTTTTAGAAAGGGAATCCAAAGCAAAAACGAAGGACCCAAGTCAGAGAGACAGACAAGCACTGAACCCGTCCTGGAGGACCCGAGTGGACGCAGCGCGAGGAAATGGCAGCGTACCGGAGCTGCTACGCACTAGGTCATCCGTTCTTTCCCAGTCCAATGTGCAATTAATTACAGTGTATAAATATACAAATACCTTACAAAATTAAATATCCCTGTAAACCACAACAAGCAGCAGGCAACACAGTTTTTGCTTTGAAATGTGCCAGAAGTCATTTTATTTTTAGATCCCTGAAGATCTTTCCCAATGATTTAACTTACTCCTTCATCTTAAAAGAACTGAAAATATGAGTAGCTGTAGAAGTTCAATGGCAGCCGAAGGGGGAAATAAAAATGTAAAACAACAGTGGTTTCTTAGCTGGGAAAAATCATTCTCCTTCCCCTCACAGTGATGGCGCGAGTGTCTTAATGACGTGCTAGGATTGGGGTGCCCACCCGGCTGCCAGCAGCAGCCCCTCCCCACGCCCCTGGCTGTGTGCACGGCTGGTCGGCCCTGCACAGCCTGGCCCGAGAGCTGGCTGACTCCCAGGCAGGCGCAGAGGTGAGGAGGCTGTGGGCGCTGGTTTGGTGTGGGCTGTGAGGTCCTGTTTTGCTTTGGTAGGAGAAAGGAGGGTGGGGAAGGAGGGGAGGACATGATTACTTTTAACTAGCACTCATTTCTTCTTAATTTGGGTAAGAGCTTTTTCTTTCTTTTTGTTTTTTGCTTGTTTAAAGGAATGCTTTAGGGGAAAAAAAAAAACACATAAAAAAACCCCGAAAGGTAGTTTCCTTAAATACCAATATTAATATTATATTAATATTAAATATCAACTTTTCTGCCACCATGGCTTCAGCTAAATCCTCATAAGTAGTTCCTGCCATAAAAGCTCTCTCAGCTTCGAAAGTGGGGATGGATCTGTCCAGAAAGGGAACATTAATCTTGAAACTGTTCCAACTACAATCTGGACATGGGCCGCTAGAGGAAAAGGGGGAAACCAATAAGGGCTGTCCTCAGACTTTCGATGGAAAGCACACCTGCCAGGGACCCCTGCCGGACGTGATGTCCTGCTTCCTCAGGGGGCCTTCTCCCCCAGGGGTGATACGAACAGTCCAGTTCTACCTGTCCTAATCTCTGACACCTCCAAAGCAAAGACTTTCCAAGCCAGTTCTGAGTTAGAAGAAAAACCAAATGCCATTTCAGTGTATCACATGATGTGACTCCCCCTCAGTCCTCCCCACCTCCCTCTGTCACGGACATGGGTCCCTCTATCAGACTTCGTGACAAACAGCAGCGGCACCCGTGACTTCATTCTACAACGTAACCTTCGAAGTTCATCTTCATTTCCCCTGAAATTAGATTTCATTCCAGTCCAGGAGTGGTCTCTAAGCACCAACAGATCCTGGATTTGAGTCTACACCAGAAGGGCATATTGTGTCCATTAGACAACTAAGGAACCTCTAACTACATTAAAAATCTCACGCACTGCTTAGAAAACAAATAACATCACAGTTAATGACCTATGTTTTGAGGAGAGGAAGGAAGTTAAAAAAACCTACTGTAGAGTTTTTATTGATCACTTTCCAGCTAAGGTCACAGACTGGGATTTCTAGCCTGTCTTTTAAGCTCTCCACGATTCATGTTTCCTCCTCTTTGCAGGGCAATTCTACCGAGGCCAGGAGACCTGTTCTTAGCAATGAGCCCAACCAGGAAGTCAGAAGCAAGGGTCTGCTGACACGCACCTGCCCCGCTCTATTCCACAGCATGCACCAGCCCCTGCCCCATGCTGCCTGAAGCAGAAAATCAGCCGGTCCGGTCCCCACCACCTGAGAGGCAGCAACTTCAAGGCTGGAGACCCTCAGTCTCCGCGAGGTGGGAGAGGGCAGATACTTTCCTGAATGCCTGAGGGATGGTCAAACAGAGATGTGCGTGAGGGAGGTAAAGGATGGTACAAAACACCCCAGGTCAGATGGCAAAGCAGCTGAATTAACCTGCAGGCCTTCTTTTCCCCAGGCCATTCCTATAAAACTTACTGGCAGCTGAAAGAAAAAGAGTATTTTCTTCTATGATGGCGTCTGGATGCAGATGACCCTGTTCTGTCAGAGAAGGAGACTGTCAGCAGTGAGCTTCCTCCTTCCTCCTCTGGCAGTTATTTCCACATCCCATGAAGGTAACCGAGGAGAGGCAAGGCGGAGGCAGCAGCAAGCCACTGCAGCCAGCGCTCAGGTGTGCCTCTTCTCTGCCCCCAGGTGTCCTTTTGGGTTTTTTTTAGTGGTGGGAGGGGATTGGTTTTAATCCCAGGATCCAGAAAGCAAAGCCTGCCTAGTCTGCTTATTTATGATAATAGGGAGAGAATTACTGAAAGTATTTTCAATTTGACAAGGATCATTGGAAATGACCACTGGATTCAGAGGGAGACTTCCAAGTCTGTACTTGAGGGTTACATTTCTTTGATCAAAGGGGGCTGTATCAATCACAGGGTCACTACTCAGCATTCCCATAATTATAATGACAACAACGACCATCAAGTTCATGAGCAGAAGTGAGTCACTCCCCTCTTGTGGGACGTTTGTGTTTGACATTGTACTAATTCCAAACTGTACCATCACTGACAAGAAGAGAAATGAGAAACTGAGAGAAAAGCAGTTCACAGGAGCGCTGCTGTGCGGAGCTACCCTCATCGTACGGTCAGCCCGCCGTCATGACCCGCTGTCAAGCCCCACGGTCCTCTCAAATCCACAGGCAGTATCCTTGGCCCTTCCCTTCTTACAAGGTCAGCAGCAGCCACTGTTCCAGGCCCGCTAAGAAGTCCTCCCTTCTCTCTTCCACTAAAAGAAAACCGCATAACTACGTTCTAAATAAGCTCCACTTTCAGAGAATACACCTGTGCCATTTCTAAGCTCCCCACAACCTTTTCCCTGAATGGAAAACGCAGGGATTAGCAATGGCAAAGAGATGGAAAGGGAAAAGGTAAGTTTTTTCCTTTTAGGTTCTAAAAAAAAGCCAGATGTTTCCTCCCGTAGTCTCTAAGCCACCCCCCCCACCCAAAATTGAAGTGATATCACAAAGAGAGAAAAGGAAAAGTATTATGTTGTCTTAAAAAACAGACAAAGATATCCAAAGACAGCAGTACAGACATCACAGGGGGTCATAATGGGGACCTATCATACAAAAGGAAGCCAAGAGACACACAAAAATAATTTGGAGATTCACTGGATCCCCTCTGGGTTGTTTTGTTTGTTTTTCTCCCTTTTGTTAGGCCACATGCTACTACCAAGATTCTCAGCACAAGAAAAAAGAGAAGGGTACAGAGCAATGGAGACGGGGACCAGGAGAGCTAGCAAGAGTGCTGACAGGAGGGAAAGCAGTTACCCCACAGGCTTACACACGAGAGGGGCCATCAAGAATCAGAGAGAGAAGGAAGCAGCAACACTTTCTTTATGTCTTGAAGGCGAGTGAGGACGCTCGGCAGGGTCCCTTAGCACTTCGGGTCGCTGGGGCACCTGCGAGAGAGCTTTGACCTACAGGTGACAGAGGAAGAGGGCGGATTAGAGAGCTGGGTCTAGATGTCTCTCCCCTCACAGTTCTCCCTCCTCTACAGTTCCCTCCTTGAGCTTCTTCCCCTCCAGCACGCAAGCCCCAGGTCTCTAGGCTCCCTGAATAAGCAGGCGAAGCTGTGGGGGCCCCTGGGACACAAGCCCCTCACAGGATCAGAGGCTGGATCACAGGGTGAAATACTGGGAGACCATGAAGGTTTTCACCACCTTCCCCTGACTCAGTCAAAAAATAAAAAAATAAAAAAAAAATCTTGAGAAACAAAATCAAAGCAGGCCATTAACTGGGAACAAATGGGACCAGGTTCCCTTAGCCATTCAGGGCACCAGGTGACACCTTATGAGAAGCGGAGGCCTCATCACCACCTTACAGTCACACTTACGCTGCTGTCCTTCCTCTACAGTCAGCCTGCTGTTGGGGAACAAGACTTCCTTCTCGATTCACATTGGCCAGAAGCCAAGGAGAAGAAGGAGACATGAGGACAACTTACCGTATCGTGCCAGCAAGGAGTGGGTTAAAGGCATATAACCAGTCATTCATGTCTTTGTCATTGAGAGCCTGTAAAAGGACCCCACGGTGCTTTGTGCATACAGCAAAGATGTTCGGTGTCTGAAAGAGACACAGAGGGACGGGAAGGTTACGATGGCTGCTGACAACGGGGACCACCCTGACATATTCCCAGGGCACACAGCACCTCATACTGAAGGTTCAGGGAGACCAGACACATAGGAGAGATGCCACACTACACAACAGAGAGTTCAGAACTCAGAAGGGAAGGGGGCAGGCGGCAATTAGTAGCCAAGAGAGCAGGACTGACCTTCACCATGGCCTGCTGGTCCTCGCTATATTCCACCTGTGCTGTGGACAGGTTAATGATGCCACGCTCCACTGGGTCCTTGTCGCTGTTATAGATAAAGACATAAGGGCGACGGACCACGACAAAATGTTTAGCCCAGTTGCTGTAAAGTGGCTCCTTGAAATGCAGGTATCCTTTCTTAGAGACCACGGAGCTAAAAAGGGCAGTAAAAGAGAGGTTAGTTTCTCGCAAAAACAAAGTGATCATGGCCTGAGGAACATGAAAATATGTCTCACCTAGGCCCAGTCCCTAGGATGAACAAAACAGGCAAAAGATCTGTTTGGCCGAGAATCCTCTCTGCTAAATTAACACAGCAACAGAGCACAAAGTACTGCCCCCACAGCATACTGTGGTGTGGTGGAGATGCCTGACAGGGCACAAGTGCAGCAGGAACCCAGCCTGGCTCTTTATCCCAGGTTCCATTGATATTAGACAATAATATTCACCTCAAGTACAAGAGCGAAAAGTAAATTACTGTGATTTGTCTTTTATACCTGGCATCCCTGGTCAATACAGTACTCACCCTGGTCTAATTTCTTCAATATCTGGAACAAGATTGAGAAATTCATTTTTTCCTGCTCGGGCCAAATAAGGTGTTTCCACAGTTGGGACGATCTGAAACTGTTCAAATTCTGGGCAGGGACTAGAGGCCCGGGAATTGGCTTCTGGGGTCCTTTAAAAAGAGAAAGGTTAGGGGTAATAGGAGCTTCAGCAAGGTCAATGCATAATGTGTACAATCCTCTCACCAGGAGGAACAAGCCCTCTCCTTAAGAGCAGGGGCCTTGCAAACATCAGTTTCAGAGAGCTCAGCTAAGACAAGCGGGTGTCAGAAAGTTAATTCCAACTTCAACTGCGGTCATCCTTTAGAAGTTACAAAAGTCACCAAGGCCCACAGTCCCTCTTCCTACTCTGAAGCCCTCTGAACAGAAGCGTCTGGGGCATGAACTCCATTCCCTTACATGTTTCTACTTCGTTTCAAGGCCACAACTAGGGCAGTGGTTCTCAAAGTGTAATCCCTGACCAGCAGAATCAACTTCGCCTGGAGACTTGTTAAAAATTCAAATTCTTGGGCTCCAACCCAGACCTACGGAGTCAGAAATGATGGGTGGAGTTCAGCCACCTGTACTTTAACAAGCCTCCCAGGTGACGCTGGTGTGCACTGACATCTGAGAACCACTGCCATAGGGGGCTGGCAGAGAAAGTAAACAAGTGGGAAGAAGCTGGCTTCCCAAACGACCACCGACTGAGAGCAGTCGGGACCATGACGTGAGCAGAAACTCCTACACTCTGCACCACGGGTTATTGTAGAGCAGCTTAGCCTGATGAATTGTACCCCACCAACTCTAAAAAGCCCATCTTTTAATACTTCACCATTTCTCAAGTTGGGATGCATCTTACAATTGATAACACACGTCACATTTTGGTTGGCAGTGCTTTCTTCTTTCGTAGTGGCACATAAAATAATGTTACGGTCGATGACATCACAAATCAATTCAATTAATTCAAATAGCCACACTCAACTGTCGCCATGTTGGTACACTAAGACAGACAGCTGGACGACACCCAGGTGGGTTCTGACAGGTGAGTACAACGAACGGAGACGGGCCCAGGAGTGTGATGGTGAGTCACAAACAAGTGATTACAGTGATGAATTCATGGGATCTAGACTACATTTGTCTCTATTATTCTTACCAATATGTTTCATTGTGCCATCAAAATATATTTTCCAAACTAGTTTTAAACTGTTTTCCCCAAGATGGGACTTGCTCTGTCTGGTATGACCGGGGAACCAAACAGGAGTGGGAATGGAAGGCCAAAATGAGCAGGAGAGGGATTCAGAAGAGGAACCAAGGGTTTTCTTGCAGAAAGTTGGTGAGACATGGTGTTAGAAGGTACAGGAGCATCTCCCTGGGACTGTGATACCCAGAAAAGGCTCCCACGTACTTCCGAGTGCTGTCAAGATGGATGGTCCCGCCCTCAGCAGAGAACCACTGAGCTAGAGGAAGGCTGGCGTTTCTTTGGTTCTTAGGCTAGCTTCTCTCAGTGAAGTCTGGGTACTTGCAACTTCTTTTTTTTGTATGTATGTATGTATTGTAATCATTACCACCAATGTGGGGCTTGAACTCAAGACCCCGAGATCAAGAGTTGCATCCTCCACCAACTGAGCTGGCCAGGTGCCTCTTTTAATTATGATTATTTTTTTTAAAGTAAACTAGGGTACTTACTTCTGATCCAGAGAGTTGCTCCTAGCCTCTACCAGAGAAGGGCAGGTGGAGGAGGGAGTGAGGGTCGCACTGCTGAAACTGGACACAGAGGGATCCCGTCCGATAGGAGAGATATCAGACAACTGGAGGCAAACAGGAGACAGCAAGTGAGATTCAGCTGAAAACCCAAAATACCTCTGCAACGAGGAGCTTTGACACCCAGTGACCTCACATTCATAAATCTGCTGCTGTAGATTATTCAAGAAAACGACTTATAAATACTTTATGACCTGAATGTCACATTAGGAATCATTTACAAAAGAGGCAAGGCTGGCTTTTTATTTTGTGACTGTCCTGCATTAATTAAATGAGCCTATCTCTATGAGCCCAGTATTTAGAACAACAGGCACTATTCTAAGAATATGGCAGAAGCCCTGCCCTCCTGGAGCTTACGTTCTAAGTGGAGAAGGCAGACAACAAACAAATCAACAGACACTTTGCAAAGTGTGAGGTAGTCCTAAAATCCAGTAATTCTACTACTGGGTATTTACCCAAAGAAAATGAAAATACTAACTCAAAAAGACATACACACACCTACGTTCACTGCAGCATTATCTACAATAGCCAAGATATGAAAGCAACTCAAGTGTCCACTGATAAGATGAATGGATAAAGAAGATGGTCTATATTCACAGTGGAATATCATTCAGCCATAAAAAGGAATGAGACCTTGCCATTTGCGACAAGACGGATGGACCCAGAGGGTATTACGCTAAGTGAAATATGACCAAGAAAGACAAATACCGTGTGATTTTACTTATATGTGGAACCTAAAAAACAGAAACAAAACCAAGCAAAAAACCACTTTTAAATACAGGAAACAAACTGAGGGGAGACCGGTGGGGGGATGGGGGAAACATGAACGGGATGAAGAGGTACAGACTTCAAGTTATAAAATAAATAAGTCACGGAGATGAGAGGTACAGCACCGGGAATGCGGTCAATAATACTGTAATAAGGTCGTGTAGTGACAGATGGGGACAATATTTATCGTGTGGTGAGACCTGGGTGATGTACAGAACTGTTCAATCACTGTGTTGTACGCCTGGAGCTAATTTAACACCGTGTGTCAACTACACGTCAATAACACAAAGCATCAGGTAGTGGGAAGGACTACAGCAAAAACTAAAGCAGGGAGAGAGGTCAGACACAGCTTCAGAGAGCTGCTGCCTTTACAGAGGGGGCCAAGGAGTTCATTTTTGAGCTGAAAAATGGACAAGATAAGGGCGCCAATCATGGGCACTTCTGGAGGAAGACTATCCTGGGGAAAGGAACAGCAAGGCTGCCAAGGCCACCTAGGCAGCTGGAGTCTGAGGATCAGCAAAAAATGTCACAATGACTAGAACTGCATGAGCACTGCAGAGGTTCTTCAAAGTGCTCACCTCATTCTTTGTTGAAGGCGACAACATTTTTTTTTTTAAAGATTTTATTTATTTGAGAGAGAGAATGAGAGATAGAGAGCACGAGAGGGAAGAGGGTCAGAGGGAGAAGCAGACTCCCTGCTGAGCAGGGAGCCCGATGTGGGACTCGATCCCGGGACTCCAGGATCGTGACCTGAGCCGAAGGCAGTCGCTTAACCAACTGAGCCACCCAGGCGCCCCGAAGGCGACAACATTTAATGCCACCACGAACCTCAGGGCTTCTGGTGTCCTGTCACACAGTGACATACCAGCCCCTACAGGATCTCCTCCGAGGGATTCGGGGAAAAGCCAAAATGTTTCCCATCTGATAACACTCTAAGAGACACAGGGGGATGCCTTTATCTGCAGAAGTCAGTGTTCTGCCTCTGAGAAATTAAATAAATACAAGAGCAGATATGCCCTACATCCTCAGACCCAAAGCTACACCCATCTGAAGCCACCTCAAAGCAGGGAGCCTGGGACGGGAAATCTGAGCTGCTCACCTTACAGTCACTGATGCTGCCGTGCACCTGGCTGAACTCCCGGTTGAAGGTGTGAGTGAGAAGTTGCAGGCACTAGGGAAGAGAGAGGAAAGTGTGAGTTTCAATGGTTAAATGAAGCCCTGGATGCAAGGCAGGAAGAGAAAACAACAGGCTAACACCCACAGTGGAGCTCAGGTGCTGCCCCAACACCTCTAGAATTAAGTAAGAATTTAGCAAGGGAAGCCTGGAGTATGCCTAACGAAGACAAATTAAGTGGATAAAAGGGCCATTCTCAAGACAACAAAAGCAAATAGCTGCCAACACCACAGATGAGAAGTGCTTAAGAACACAATAGTGCCCCTTCCGATTCGTCCTGGTACTAAAAGCCATGGAGACTTCTGGATGGACATATTTTTCTAAACTGACTAGAAGACCATTTGGTTATTGAAACAACATGACACAGAAGCCCTCTCACCTCTATATTCCACTGTGGGCCAGTTGTCCAGAAACCATATGCCTGAGTGTCATCCTCAGCAACCCCTCTGCCCTCTCCCACCCACTCTGGGCAACAAGGAGTGCCGACTCTACCTCCCCAAAGTCTCTTCCGTGACGACTCTTCCCCTTCTCCCTGCAGCCTCCCGCCTCAGCTGAGACCCACACCATCTGGAGCACCACAATAAAGAGCTCTTTGTGCCTCTAGGCTCTGTCACCCCAAACCCACCCTCTTTCTTGCTGCCACAGCAATCATCCTAAAACACAAACACTTGTTTAAAATATTTCCGCGTCACCCCCAGGACACTCTACACTCTAGTCCAGTCTCCAGACCCTGCAAGATCCGGTCCTGCCCCACGTCTCTGACTCCATCTCCTGCCCCTCCCCACTTTCCCCATGTGATTCCATAGCACTGAAGGTGTAGCCTACAAGGCTTTCCTCTGGTGCAGGCTTCCAAGCTCAGCTCAGCAGCACCGGCCCGTGAAGGCCTCTCCTCGGGCTCCCCCAGACTCCAGACACACACCTCTATTATATGCTTGTCACCGAGTCACCTGTGAGTTCAGTAAGGGTAGAAATGGAGTTTTATTTATTTCTACCTTCACAGCTAGTACAGGCCTTGAAACAGAGGCCCTCAAAGAAAGATGAAAACGAAAAATCTAAACTAGCTCACGGGAGTCTCACGGTGGGAAAATGCTCGGCAACAAGGAAGGGATTCACACCTTGGTAGCCAGCTCCTTCTCTCGATCCACCAGGCTTTCAATGTCTGTCGAGTCGTAGCCGCTGCTCTCACTGGGGGTGATGGCGCTTTCAAAGGTGGTGGTAGAGATCTGAGAGGAGATGCTGGTAGAGGTGCTGAGGGTCCCACTGCTGAGGCTGGGGGACAACGAGTCACTCAGGGACTTGGGGATGCTGTCACCAAGTCTCTCACGCAGCAGCAGGAAGTGGCGAGTTTTTTCCACCTAAGAAGATCAACACAAATGCCTCAGCAAACATAAAACTTGTTAAGATTCCTTTCTTTTTTTAAAGATTTATTTGTTTGAGAAAGCGAGTGTGCACACATGTGAGCAAGGTAGGGAGGGGACAGAGGGAGACTGAAAGGGACAGAAAATCTTTAGCAGACTCCCCACTAAGCAAGGAGCCTGACATGGGGCTTGATCTCATGACCTGAGCCAAAAACAAGAGTCGGACACTTAACCGACTGAGCCACCCAGGCACCCAAAGCTCGTTATCTTAATAAGCAAAATATGCCTCCATCATAACTGAAAGCTGAAAACCCAAGATCACACAGAGAAGGTGAGTGTGACTGATACTTTGGGAGTCGTGCTCAAGAGTTCATCTGAGCGTCTCCTGCCCTTGGATACCTCGTGAAGGAGCTCCAGCTTCTCTAACTCCCACTGGTGCTCTAGGATGAGACTGTCCCCGCGGGGCCGCCAGCCTGCTAAGTTCTCTTCTCCCCGCACATAGGCCACAGATGTATCCAAGATTTTTCTTCTCCTCCTCTGCATGCCTGAGACAAGAGGAAATAATTTTTTTTTTTTCAGAGAAAAATCTGATTGCATTTTTAGCTCAAAACAAACTAGTAATTCATATACATGGCAAACCAACACACTTAGTCAAGACACATGGGATTTTGATTATGAATAAAAATTCATCCCTTTTCCCTCAAAGCAATTCTCTGAACTTCTTTTAAAACAGAGTTTTACATTCTTTGATAACTATGAAGACTATCATGCAACTTTAGAAAATGCCCAAGTTACTGTGTTACATGAAAATATAGAAAGACTGACTAGTCTGTACCCTATGGTTCCAAATATATAAAAATACACCCATATGAAAAAAGTAAGAAAGGACCACCTCTCCACCCCCAACCACACCCCACATTCAGGAGCTCAATTGGGACTGCAGATGACAGACAGCTTCAGCCCCATCATTTTCCATTAATATTAAAAAATGTTATACTGTTTTTACATATCAAAGACACAAATTAATGTTAAGTAAGAAAATTTCTCAAGGATGTATCCGGACACTATAATTAGTTGCTATTGAGACTTGGATTCATACTCCAAATTCTTATTTTAATCTAAATCTTACCTGTGGGACCTGACCTTCTTCTGTATATGTTCTCTAAAATGAATGATCAAACTCACCTTAATCAAATGTTTTTTAAAAACCCTGACTTTTGTCCACGTTCCGGCTTATAAACATAGAACTGCAAAGGGCTGCTTAAGGCCACCAAGCTAGAGGAACAGCAGCAGGCCAGAGAGACATCGAAAAGGACACAGCACAGATTCCATTTAATCATTTGTCTCCCTAGAGCACAGGACCTTCGAATTCTAGCTTGACAGCACCTATAAAGTTACATTTTGCCAAGGTATCTTTGGTGCTAACGTGGAAAGGGAAATGGTTATGAAGTTTGCCAAGCCAAATTCATTCTAATAGACTCAAATTTTTTTATAATATATTGCAACATCATGACATTTTGTTCAATACAGTTTTTATAACTGTTTTTTGCAGGTCACAAACCAAATAGTGTTGTAACTCAGAAAAAGGTAACTCTCATCACCACCAAAAAACTGGCTTATAAAATAAATATACCTGGTTTCTAAAAAATTTTCTATCTATCCTACATGGGTAGGATAGATTTTTGACATAATATACTCCAAACACAGGCAAAGATAACTATCACCTCCCCAATCCATACAGGCTTACCTGGACTACCCGTGTCTGCCATTTTGCATAAACTGAGTTCATAAATTCCAGTGACTCGATTGCTATTCGAATTAAAACAAACAACTGTTTAACTTCTTATAGCACAAAAACAGGAAAATCTCAATTCCTTCTACTTAAAACACTGTCTCCTGTGTAGGGACTGCAGCCCACCCTCAAATATAATTACAGACATTTCTTATTTCTTTTCTTATTCTGAACTTAAGAAGTATTATTTTTCCTAGAAAGGAGTTTGTTTTCATCCCAATCTTTTGAATTACTTCAACAGGAAGACTAAAATTGAATGATAAACTCAAAAGTTTATAATACAAATATAAAAAATAAAAATCTGCCTTACCACAAGAGAAGAGATGAGGGGGAAAGTCTGACTAGAATGAAACGATGAGCATCAAATTCAGGGGAATGTGATTAGGAAGGGTACTAAACCTTCCACGTATTAGTAACACTTGTTATTCAGGCTGGATAGTGAGGCACAGGTAACCCCTGTATTAGTCTTGACGTATTTTGATATACCTTAAATAGGAATAATCTTTTTAAAAGAAAACCCCAGTGGTAATCAGTTAGAATTAATGACATCTGAAAGAACATTTAGTCCCTACAAAATTGTTCTGCGAGTGCTCACGATGTAATACTCCTTCCTTCCTTCACACACTCATGTGTCCATCAGTATTGCAGTAAATGCCAACACTTTTAAGTTATTGCACTCCTGGTATCAGGTTGTAAGCCAACCCTGAAACAGCAGGCGACGGACACCGAGGGCTCAGCTGCTTCTGTAGTGGGCAAACAAGCTGGAAGCTACACTTGTCTCTGAAACTTACGAGTCTGGTGACTTTGAGTAGCCACTGCCGAAGAGGCTGCGCAGAGAGCGTGGAGGTGAGATCTTGGCGTCCCGGGAGTAGAAGACCATGCACACGTCCTTGGTGATGACCGCTGGCTGGATGCAATGATCCAACTGAAAGCACAAATGAGTGGGCTCCATTTAAATGCAGACAGAGCCTCTGTGGCAGGACTCTGTGCACCAGCTTAGTCGGAAAGCTGGTCCCAGAGGTGGGGGCTGGAAGATATATTTCAGCTCTACCAATTACTTCAACAGCAGTTCAGCAGATAATGTGTGCAAGATTAGGTTGTAGTCCTTGCAGCTGCTTTATTTTCCCCAATTTTTAAAAAACTTTCTTCTGAAATAATGGCTAATAGTTATTATTTATTATGTGCCAAGCACTGTTCGAATGCTTTTGTATCTGATCTCTCTACACCTTTCTGAGGTAAATGCCATCATTACTACTCCTGTTTAAGAGATGAGGGAATTGAGGCACAGAGAGAGCCCCTGTGGAAGGACATGCTGGCAGTAAGTCGCAGCACCGGCATCCGAACTCAGACAGGCTGGTTCCAAGGTCTGTGCTGTTGATCACTACTAGGTTCTGCCCGCAGCTGCAAAAACAAGAGGCTAAGTTTTTTTTAAATTGTATCTTCTTTGAAGAAGGCGATTAGGTTACTAAAACTGAAGTTATAATAGAAGCCATGACTTTAAGTTTATTTATTATTTTTTTTTAGTAATCTCTACACCCACTTATGGGGCTTGAATTCACGACCCCAAGATCAGTTGCACACTCTTCTGACCGAGCCAGCCAGACCCCCGGTTGTAGGATTTTTGTGATTATGTAGAGATGAGGAACAGAAGCTAATACAATCAGAACAGTAGCAAACAGCTGACAAGAAAATCAGTCGAATCTTTCCTCCTCATTTCTTGTGGTAATCTGCCCACTGTTCAGGCCTAGCCATTCGTGGTGATTTAGGTTCAAAGTCTCCTCACCTCTAGGTACGCTGACAAGGTCATGTAGATCTTTTCCCCATAGGGCGTCACTCGGTTCAGAAGGAGAGAGTTATGGAGGGAGCTGTCCCACACGGCCTCGAAACGGTAGAAGGTCCTGAGGTCAGAAAGGCAAGAGGGAGCCATCCAGAAGAAGTGAAGTCACCTTAGTCCAGGTACTCTGTCAGTAACACTACCGAATCCTACACCAACAAATACTTGGAATATACTGAAATCATTTAATGACACGGTGGAGCCTTTATCCCCTAGAAGGAAAAGATAGGCCCCCAGTCTCTCGCCCCACCCACCATCCAGGAGCACTTAGTTATGCTTTTTTTTCCTGGACAAGTCTGCTTCTCTGCCTATAAACATAAAAACAGATCAATCAAAGAGATTAAGATTGCCTGTGAACAGAAACTAAAGAAAGAAAGCCTAAGTAAGCGCCTCCGCAGTCAACAAAGAGGGCAGGAAGCAAATCCTCAGGAGCCTGCAATCCTATCTTCACTTCCCAGTCCAGTTCTGCTGTGCCTTCGAAATGTCACAAACACCTGGGAGGCCTGACAGAGAAAACAGGCAGAATAATTTAAGTACAGAGTCTAATTTTAAATAAAAGAACAGGAGGCTATTCTTAGCTGATGCTTAGGTAAAAGAATGATTTTAACACCAAAGCTGGCTAACTACTATTTGTTACTTTTCAAAAAAAATCCACATGAAAAGCAATCTTCCGCTTCAGTAACAATTAGAAGCTTGACTTAATAAGCACCCAGAAACAGTTTTTTAAGTTGTTCTAATATCTTCCTTTTCTCTTACTGGTAAAGCCCCACAGACCTGACCTGACATCCGTTCCGCCAGTTCTGCAGCGTCGTCCGAAGCACCGCACTGAATTACAGCCCAGCTCCCAGCCCTGCCTGCAGTGCCCTCCACCCCGACTCCGGCCCCATGATAAGTGTCTACTCTGCACACTGCACGTTCCATCACCACTGGCTCGCACCCAGTTCAGCGACTTTCTGCACACTTTGCTTCCTTCTACATTCCTCCTTGCTCCTTCCCAATGGTAACCTTGCTATTGCTGTCTTTTCTAGATTTCCTATAACAAATAACTTCCCTAAATCAGATGAAGAGAGATGGGAAAGACTTCCTTCACTACTGAAACAGGATTTTTTTTCTACCCCAAAAGAAGAAAATAGATGAGACAAGCAGCTCTGACAGCAGAAAGAGAAATGTTTAAAAATAAACAACCTATTTCTCACAGCCTCAGCTTCCCAAAGAGCCGAACTGGTCTCTACTACCTCACAGGATAAAACCAAGAAAACTGAATAATTATGCAAAGCTACAGAGCAGCAAACCTTCAAGCTTCTGACAGAGAGGACAGACAAGGAGAACAGAAGACCCAGGCTGAGATTCCATATGAAAGGAGGGGGAGTAACACTCTAATTTGTAATCTAGCAGAAGAAAAGCTGAAGGTGCATAAGAATAAAACGGACAAGGGTTTAGTAAATGGGATGAGAAAAGAAGAGCTCTACCAATCACTTAAGAAGCTGTATGTGAAACTGTACACGCATCAGGAAAAGCCAGGGCACAAGGGTATAGGATAAGGTGCTGCTCTATCCTAGGTCTGCATGGGGAAAAACTACTAAATTAAAACAGTAGTCTAAGCAACATAAGACATAAAGCATTCTGATAAACTAGAATCTTCATGTGCAAAAAAGCAAACAGAAAATACCTAGGAATATCCTTATCAAGAAAGAGCCTGCAAAAACATAGAAAAGGCTTTTGTTAGTGCAGTTGCGGAACAAAAAAGTAAAGGAAAAGAGAAAAGCAAAAGAGAAAAAAGTATATAAAAAAGGACAAATTTGCTGTTAAGCAAAGTGAATCCAAGTGGACAATTAACAGAGAACTCCATGGGGCACAATTTGATAGACAGTTGACAATGACATGGGGTCCCTCTCCTGAGACATTTAATTAAGGAAAATGCTGGGCACAGAAGGGATGGTAAACACCACCTCTATTAACACCTGTCTGCAGGTGACTCAGTACTGGACATGGTAGGAAGCTGCTGTGGAGTGACAGGAAAACCAAGTCAATTAGGTAACACAGAAGCAGGACTGGGAAGAAAAGCAGGAGTGGCTCTTGTGGGCTACACACCCAATCCGCGTGCCAGAATAGCTCTCACAGATAAATGTACATCACACACCCAAACTGCAGTTCTTTAAGTTCAACTTTAAACATTAAACCTTAGGCAAACAGAACAAAAGCTCACTTAACCAAATTCCACCTAGCAACTTGCTAAATTAACTTACGCTCTCTGTATTCCTAATATAAAAAAGGATGTCCATTTTGCACTGAGCATCCTAAACTAGCGGTATCTCATATGCCAGACAGTTTGTTTCTAAGAGCTGAGTATTGTGCTTATCAAGTTATCAATAGTATTTGGTCCTGAACCTGTTTATACAGTTGTACTTATTATAATCATCTAATTTAATAAAGTATTAGGCAAATCCATGAAACATGAGGGCAAAAGGAATTTTTGTTTAGTGAGAAACAAAACTACGTTTAACTTAAAAAAAAAAAAGAAGAAGATAGCAGGAGGGGAAGAATGAAGGGGGGTAAATCGGAGGGGGAGACGAACCGTGAGAGATGATGGACTCTGAAAAATAAACTGAAGGTTCTAGAGGGGAGGGGGGTGGGGAGATGGGTTAGCCTGGTGATGGGTATTAAAGAGGGCACGTTCTGCGTGGAGCACTGGGTGTTATGCGCAAACAATGAATCATGGAACACTGCATCAAAAACTAATGATGTAACGTATGGTGATTAACATAACAATAACAAAATTTTAAAGAAAACTACGTTTAACTTTATTTATTTATTTATTTATTTGGAGAGAGAGTGAGAGCGTGAGTGAGCAGGGGGAGGGTCAGAGAGAGAGAATCCCAAGCAGGCTTCACGGTCAGCACAGAGTCAGACACAGGGCTTGACCTCATGACCCTGAGTTCGTGACCTGATCCAAAATGAAGAGTCAGATGCCCAACCGACTCTGAGCCACCCAGGCACCCCAAGTTGAATGTTTTTAAAAGATGTGATAATGCTGAGTTAAAAAAACACCTGTTAAGTTTGGGTATAATCAATGTAAAAAAAAGGGGGGGCAAATAATAAAATTTTAATGATAAATTATAAAAAGTTTAAAGGATTTTGCATTTAGATTCTTCATAGGTTTCTAGTTCTTGTTCCACCAAACTAAAAACCAGATGATGAATTATGGGCATGGTTTTGCAAGAAAGACAATCAGAAGTTCAATAAATAAGCCTACAATAAGGAAAGGCCTTGGTCCTACAGTAAGAGCTTGACAAATTAATGTACGTTTATATAGCTTAAATTAAAATGTTTAACGTGCGTATCTTTTTTATTATACTTGACTTTAGCCAACTTTTTTGATTAATTAACTCTAAACTTCTCCTGTGAAAGAAGCTGCTTCTAACAAAAGCCAAATTAATCTATAGCATCTGACTCGTAGCTGGGTATGAATCAAAGGACTTTTGAAGGTTACTCTAAGGTAGGCAACCAGCATTTCAACCAAACATCATTGTTCTGTGTATTTTGCTAAGTATTCTAGGGAAATTTAAAATCTATTTCTCATAGTTGCCAAGAAAATATGGTGAATGCCACCTGAATATCTGCTATCAACGTCCAGCTGGAGAGAACACCATGTGGGCTTAATGTTGACTTCAGAGAAACAGGATTCTTCACGATCCTGCCCAGGAATAGATCGGGCAGGGCCTGAGCATGCTTCTTTACCTCTGCCACCCCTGCCCTACCGGCACACCCTCAGATTCCTTCCCTCTCTCTCACAGTGCCTGCAGCCCCACCTACAGGCAAAAAGCACACAGTTCTTTTTTCCCCTCTTTCTATGCAAAACTGTTAACACAAGGAAACAATGGAAAAAAATTAATCCTGGCCCAAACTTCTAATCCTGTTTCTGCTTTCTGTCTCCTTTTTCCTCTCCCTCTTTCCAACACAGATGTGAGCACATTTTTCAGGAACAGAGAGAGGTATACAGAAGTCCTCCTGTAATGCAAAGGCCACATCAGAACACACAGCCACCTCTGCTCCCCAGCCCTTGCCACATAAAGGAGTGGGGTCTGTGCACAGTGACATAACCTCTTTCCTGGGGACAGAAGGGGGCCCCAGGAGATTTATCTCCAGTCAGACATGGGAAAGCAGACTGGCTATGGACTTTATGCACTGTCATCACTTGATTATAAAATGGAATTTTAAGGGAAACTAATTTAAAATTTAAAATAAAATTCACTACTTATAGCAGACAACTTTGTTTAGAAGAGTTTATATATATTAACTTATCACCTTTTATGAGTAAACGAAAATGAAAAGCAAACACTGAGACTCCTGGAGCCTCTGCTGGCAGCGGCCAAAGCTAAACACAAGACGGTTCGCTATGGCTGGGAGGGCATGTTTCCATGACACTCAGGACCAACAGACCTTTCTCCACGGCAACCCCTTCATAGGAAAACACTTAGCTCAGCAACAATTAATTTGTACTTTTAAACCCTTGGGTAGCATGCTGCATTTTCTTTTTCTGTTCTTGTCTCTCAGACTCTGCTACATCTACTCTAACTCCACAAAGGACAGAACATTTTCATTCTATATAGATAACTGACCCACATACACTGATCTCTATTTATTTATTTACTTTTGGAGAGCAGGGGGGCAGGGAGGAAAGGGATGTCTGAAGGGAGAAAGGAACTTGTTTCTGCACCTGAACAGCAGTCACTGGTGAACAAGGAATCTAATGGGGGAGCATCAACCCCCAGAGGGTGGACTCACTGGGCTGCGTAGGGGCCCTACCTGCTGGAGTTGTGGGAGGACTTCAGGTACTTGGCAGAGATAATATTTAGAGAGAGGATGGCATCAACCGCAGCCTCATCCACCTCAGCCTTATTCCTGATCCGGCCTACAAGGAAGAATAAAGAAACTAGGAGAGGGGTACACTTAAAAACACAAGGGAGATTCATTAAGCCAAAGACAGACTTTTAAACCCAGGTACCTTCAGGTGCTGGAAGGTCACGTGGCTCACCACTGAGTGGTCTCCCACAATCCGTGTCGCCTTCCACTTACTTCCCACATTTAGTACACTGTGAAACCCGACTGACTCTGTTCAAAAAGTTTCTCATATTCATCTCAACTTTTACTTCTGATACCACTGCCTGCTCACAAAGATCATCCCCTTCCTGTCTGGAACACTGTGATGGCCACTGCACTGGCCTTCCGGCTGCTCACCTCTCCCCCTCTCCAATCCACCCCACGCTCATTTTACATAAACTTCTTAAGCCACTACCTTCATCATACCACTTTCTTGTTCAAAATCCTACAACCGTTTTCAAATTAACACTAGGGGAACCCTAGGGGATGTATGGCATAAGGGTCAAGAGCACAGCTTAGGGAGCTGGACTGCCTGGGTTCAAATCTCAGCTTCAACACTTTCTGGCTGTGAGGCTTAGGCATATTGCTCAACCTCTCTGAGTCTTGGTTTCCTCATCTGTGAGGTGGGATTAACAATTCTTCCCTCACATGATTGTTACAACCACGTTACATGTTTGTTATATTATCTTAAATAAACTAGTATTTCTGAGCATTCAGAAATGTACCTGTTACAGAGTAAGTACTACATAAATGTTCATTAAAAAAAAAGCTTGAAAACCACTGCCCTAGACAGAACAGTGTAAAATCTCCCTTTTAAGGGTTCTTAATCTAGTCCATAGATACTCAAAGGGTCTGTGTATAGAATTCAAAAGGTCCATGTGCTTAAATGGGAAAAAAAATTACAACTTTATTTTCATAAACCTCTGACTGAAATCTGGCATTTCCTTCAATTATGAAGGGAGGGGACAATCCACAGGAAAATCAGCAGTACCTGTGACTCTGTCCACAGCAGAAATCATATGTTTTCATATCATACTAAGGTAAAACATCCTGACATTCCTTACACTCTGAATGATAGAAATCAGACCCACTGCTTCTTTAATGCATTTAATGCATTAATATAAATAACAGGGTTTTTTTTAAGATTTTATTTATTTATTTGACAGAGAGAGATCACAGTAGGCAGACAGGCAGGCAGAGGGAGAGGGAGAAGCAGGCTCCCTGCTGAGCACGGAGCCCAATATGGGGATCGATCCCAGGACCCTGGGATAATGACCTGAGCCGAAGGCAGACAGACACTTAAAGGACTGAGCCACCCAGGCGCCCCTAGATAACAGTTTATATTATAAATCTGTTTAGTATTTGAGAAATTTCAGTACCATTAGTTTCCTTTGTAATCCTATGTACAGTTGACCCTTGAACAAGGGTGTTGTTGGGTGTGAAAGGCAAGGGTCCACATATACACAGATTTTTTTCGATAAATACATTCAGCATTGTGAACGTATTTTCTCTTATTTTTTTTTTGAGAGAGAGCGCACATGTGTGAGCTGAGGGGAGCAGCTCTAAGCCCAGCACACCCGACACGGGGCTCAGTCTCACGACCCTGAGATCATGACCTGAGCCAAAATCAAGAGTCAGACACTTAACCAACTGAGCCACTCAGGTGCCCCCTTACAATTTTCCTAATAACATTTTCTTTTCTCTAGCTTACTTTAGGAATATAGTATATAACACATATAACATACAAAATATGTGTTAATTGACTAAGTTATTGGGAAGGCTCTGGTCAACAGTGGGCTGTTAGGAGTTAAGTTCTGGGGAGTCAAGAGTTAAAAGTGAATATTCAACTGTGCTTCTAACCTCATGTTGTGCAAGGGTCAACTGTACTTTATTTTCTACATTTAAAAAACATAGTTCTGAGGCTTCACCACTGTCAAAGGGGTTCATGGCAAAAAAAGATTCAGAACCCTGCCTTAGACTCTAACGCTTACATGGTTTAGTCAATTTTTTCTTTTCATCATGCAACCCTGGCCGTGGGTTTCTAGCCATTTGCATGTTAGAGACGTTCCTGACTCTCTTACTCAAGATGTTTCTGTGTGTGGAAAACAAAACAAAACAGATGAAAACGGATCCTTTTTGCTGTTAATTCTCAGCACAGATCTTTCTCACTTGCCCTTGCACTTACTCATCAAACTGTTTTATTTGTTATTATTTTTTTAAAGTATATATATTTATTTAAGACTCTCCACACCCAGGGTGGGGCTTGAACTCAGGACATTGAGATGAAGAGTCGCACACTCCACCAACTGAGCCAGCCAGGCGCCCCAAACTGTTTTAAACATCCATAGGTTGTCTCCTCAACGAAACTGCAAGCTCACAACGAGCAGAAACTTCTCTTATGCCCTCTCTGAGCCTCTAGCACAGAACCATTCCCACGGTAACAGAGTAAAATAAAGGTTGGTTGAATGACACATCCCTAACGATGGGGGCTGAGAAACAAGAGCAGTTTCAAACTACACGTGTTCTCCACACTCTGTGTTTTCCAGTACTCCTTCCCCACATTCCCCATGTTCCTCGAAAAAGCCTGGCTCCAACCTCAGCCTATGGAATGTACTCACCTACCACCAGCTCACGAACATCCTTCCAATGGAGTTCACTCCCCTTCTCATGGATGATGGTCACTGTGATCCTTCGCTGGATGCCCTAGGTAACGGAGCAGGGTTGCAGTTTAGCTGGCACAATCTATGACTTCTGGACTGTATGGTGTAGGGCTGGGCAAGGAGAGGTTTGGAGAGAGGGGGAAACGCTGCCCCACTGTTACTCTAAACAAAGGGATTTAGGTCAGGGGATGAGGAAGAACCAGGTTCTGACATGGCTTTAAGAACAGACGACCAGATCGTATGACCCAGAACATGAGACCCTCAGCTCCTATGCCCACCTGGGTTATAAGCATTTTTTTTTTAAAGATTTTATTTTTAAGTAATCTCTACACCCAATGTGGGGCTTGAACTCATAACCCTGAGATCCAGAGTCACATACTCCACAGACTGAGCCAGCCAGGTGTGCCAGTCAAGCATTGTTGAGCACTGACTAAATCTACTTTTGATTTACAAAAGGAGGACCTACACTTCATGGCCAGATTTTTAGTCCACTGCAACTTCCATCCTCTATCTCCATTAAGAACTTTTAACTGTGAAAGCACAGTTTCCAAACATGAAAACCGTATATAAGAAAATAAAATTGTTTAAAATGACATGGGAGCTGCACAAATTATAATAATTGAATAAAACAAAGTCTTTTTCAAAATAGGTCCTCTAAAATATATTTATATATATAAGCAAGGGTATAATATCAGCCAAGGTCTGAGGAAGAAATTAAAAAACAAACATACAAGAAAAGAAAAAAAAAAAGGACAAGGTCTCTTCAATCCCCAAATCCACTTAAAATGAAGAGGAAAAGCAGAGAAACAGAAAGAGCTCTGTGTCCATCCTTCCTAGGCCCTCTCTGGCTCCCTCGTTAGTACCTGATGGAGCAAAAACGTCCCCTGGCAGGGCAAGCCTGCTGTGTGGTCAACCACAGCTGGGATGTACCTATAAAAATAGAAATGCACGAGAAAGCAGTTAGATGGGATGCTTGTGCTGAGTGCCACCTCATCTGCAAGGTCCTCCCTGTCGCTACATCCCCCATGGTCTCTGTTTCCCGTCTTCCTCACCATCTGGGCACTTCATCACACACTCATTTGCATTTAATGAACCTTTTCACTTATCCACACCACATCACCCTCACTAGACCGAAGTGCTCACAGCACGGTAACATCCTTCGGCCCCATCCCATCCTCCTGCATAACAGATACGCCATAAATAAATGTACAACTGCAACAGGAGGTGTCAGGAGGGAAGAAAGGGATCGTTTCAGATTTTAGTAGTTTTTAAGGATCAGAAAGCAATGAACTCAGTAGACACTATTACCACTGTAACTATGTGTCCCTCATAATGCAAGTTATAAACACATTATAGATCTCTCTACAGAAAGTACAATTTCTTAAAGCAATGTCACTATTGACAATTAAATACAGGACTGATGCAGCCATACTCTCACACAGAGTAGGAACTCAAAAAATGTTCCAGGGAGCTGATCATGATGGCGGTACTCAGCATTATAAACAGAGGATCATCAGGGTAACATTTATTCCCTACCCCTTACATGAACTGATAAAGCCCCTTGCCTCTGTTTCGGAATCTTTTCTGTGTGTTTTTCTAAGAGCATTTTAGAGACAACTGTGAACAACAATTACATTCACCACTTACTCTAACACAGCTCACACAGAGAAAGTAAGCTGATGTTGATTATTTTTATCTAGGTCAACAATCCTCAACTGGGGGTGATCTGCAATGTGTGAAGACATTTGTGGTTGGCACACTGGAGGGCAGGTGCTACTGGCATCTTGTAGGTAGAGGACAGGGATGTGGCTCAATATCTTACAGGACAGCCCCCCCATGACAAAGGGTTATCCAACCCAAAATAGTGCCAAGGCTGAGAAGCCCTGGTCTAAAGAATCATTCTGTTCCCAATCCTCTCACTGAGATTATTAAGGTTAAAGTCCTGACTATATTATATGCAATAGGCTTCTGACTCCCTTTGCTTTGCTGCTGACAGAATCTACTCTGTAAGTTTTCCTTCCTCATACAAAGTGCCAGTCTCCGTGTTCTTGGCTGTTGCTAATAAGAAGGCAAACTATTATTCTGGACAGTCACTTCTTTGACAAATATCTAATTCAAAGAATAATACCAACACCACCAAAAATTCAATTCAAAACTGGAATTCAACAGTGACAATGATTCTTTAACCTGAATAAGAGGAGACTCAAAATTACATTTTTTTTATTTTGAAAAACTTAGCCTTTGTTTAAAAATTTAGAAAGTTGGACTTACTCTCCTGTAGGCTCCAGTTCACTGATCTCAAACCAAACCAGAAGATCATACTTGCTCATGCTCTGGCCAAGGCTGGTTTTGCTCATGGTGTTTAACTTGGTGGCTGGAACTTTTAAAAGTTTTTAGAAAATATCAAAATATGGTCCAAGTCTACTTAGTAAAAGCATAAGCTCTTCAAGGACACACTTGGGAAAGGTAACAAGAGTCGGGGTGAGATTTCAATGTAGAAGACCCAGATAAACGTCACCATCAACAACATCAGTGCCTCTAAATTCAGAGAACTGGGAAAATGGAGAGTTGGTATCTTTCTCCCTCTCACCAAACAGTGTATCTAATAACAAGAAAACAGATTTTGTGCAGGGTAAATGTGCTCATAAAACCATTCAAAAACCTTCCTTAGACTCTCCTATTCTGTGGCATGTTGAGCATGGAAATGATGTGGGAGAGACAGTGTGGGCAGAGCCTCACACCTCACAGGGTCTCCTCAAAGCTGGAGTGCATGAGGGAAGACCCATGCTCCAGCCCAGTGGTTCCCAAACCTCCCTGCATATGGGATCTTTAAGCAAAGCCCAGGCAATTAAATGACAATCTCTATGGGTGGGACCCAGTCCTCTGACAGGACTGAAACCCTTTCAGGTGATTCTAATGTGCCCATTCTCTGCTCAGAACCTGGGAGCACTGGAGTGAGAGTCCAGTGACTTGGGATCTACTACTATTCAACCGCTAACTACTAGGCGACTTTGGTTGAGTCACTTAATCTCTGGAAGTATGTCTCCTCATCTACAAAAAGTAAATTAGAATATTTAGCCTGCAATCTTGAAAAGGTATCATGATGACCTATTGACACGAGGTATCTAAAGGGGCCTCATGACTCATACAGTACTAGTCAAATGTTAGCCTATTTGCACTATTCACTCCAGCTGAATTCCATGTGAGTTGGTGCTGCTAGTCAAGAAAAAATCAGTGTCACTGATTCTGGCGGTCATCTGAGGGCCAAAAAGCAAAATCTGAAGTATTAAAAACAAACAAAAAAACCCCAACCCACCTACTAGTAAAAATCTTTAAAATTAAAGAACCATTGCAGAGAATCCAAGTGAACAAACAGAAGGAGATTCCACAACCGTCCCCCCCGCCCCCACAGGGTGATGTGAAAGAGGCTCAAGTAGAGAAGGTGTGTCCTCACATCTCTCCAAAGGAAACGTATTCTTGCCAATGTGCTAGACCCTAGATCCGGTTCAAGCAGCAAACAGCAATGCCAGTATTTCCTACACAGAGAGCCAGGCTTTAGGCTAAGCCCCTGAGGATGGTTCTACACCTAAGGCAGAGCTAAGTCAGCTACTAACCATCTCGTTTGGGTGCCCTCTCACTCTGGCAGCCTGGCACTGGCAGAGAGAGAAAAGATGGCCCTGGGTCCGCCCCATCCTGGAAGGTGGCAACAGCGGAGGAAGCAAGTGCATTGGCGTGCTCAGAAAACGCGTCCAACACATGCACATTCACATAGTCAGCTATGAGAAATCGAACCAGTTCAATCTTTCTCTCATGGTCTGAAGGCAGGATGGAGAGCAGGAGTACAGAGGTGGACAAGTACAGGGTAGGGGGGGAAGGTGGCAAGTGGGCAATGAGGAAAAGGGTGAAAATAAAGAAAAAGCAAAACAAGATGAATGAACATGCAAAATACATTTGATACGCAAAGAAATGCCCAGTCACCCAACAGTTAGAAGGAGTTACATATAAAGCAGAGATTTAGGAACAGGTATCGTGATGACCCACTGACACGAGGTATCTAAAGGGGCCTCATGACTCATACAGTACTAGTCAAATGTTAGCCTATTTGCACTATTCACTCCAGCTGAATTCCATTTGAGTTGGTGCTGCTAGTCAAGAAAAAATCAGTGTCATTGATTCTGGCGGTCATCTGAGGGCCAAAAAGCAAAATCTGAAGTATTAAAAACAAACAAAAAAACCCCAACCCACCTACTAGTAAAAATCTTTAAAATTAAAGAACCATTGCTTATGGTTCTTTATGGAGCTTATCAAAATCTACAGTAAGAAGACCAGAAAGTTGGCAGGGAAGGAGCCCTATCGTTTCTTACTTCTTATTTAAATCAGGAACCAAGAATTCCAGTTCCTGCTAGACACGGGAATATGGAAGGATACACGGGAGTGGAGCAGGCACGTAAAAATGATTTCTGTCTGAAAAGCCATCCGAATAAGAGCCCTGTCACCCAGAGAAGGGCTCACCTGGCTTGGAGAGCGGCATGGGCGGAGGGAAGAAGCGACGACATGGCTGAGGTGGGCTGCAAAGGAAGGAAACAAAGTTCAAGGCTGAGAAAGGGTCTCATGTTGACATTAATGGCATGTTTAAATCCCCTCTAGAAACAGATCATTTGCACTTTCAGATAAGGCATAATATCAGACACCAGACATAATCCCACATAGTCAAACTGAGGCTCAGATATTTTAATGAAAGTCCCTTGTGGGTCCTAGCTAATAAGTGAAGTATGAGAAGTTTTCTGTCAACACTGACACTCTGCTGTCACCCAAAAGGCCCCGTGGTTGCTCTCCTCACCAACTGTGATGTCTCCACTTACAGCTCATGCTTCCTCAAGTTCTGGGTAATGAGGAACAATTACACACAATCCTTGTGTCTTATCACCTCACTTTCTATCCTGTTCAAAGTCTCTTCCTACAAGAGATGGTACTCCAGGTCAGCTGGGCAAAATTCAATGTGCTTTACCTACAGTTAGTGGTTCCATGGCTTAGAAAAAAGGTGGTGATGTTTCTAAAGAGGAAACATCAGGTAACAGAGAAAACTGTTCTTCAGTTATCTTAATCCCTTAAAAGATTTCTTCCTTCCCGACAAGTGGCAGTAAGAGTAACAAGAGCAACAAGAATCTTTGCTTATCTGGTTCAAACCTGTTAAGTTCCTGTCCTTGGAGATGAAGTGGGTGCTGCTGATAATGCCCAAAGACTTCAAATACTATCGGTTTGGTTTTGATATAGTCCACAAATGATTCAGTGACCTCCACCGCAATCTAATAAGGAATAAAGCCAAGCTAGATTAGGGAAAGATTTACTATAACAAACACACATGTTTGCTGCAATCAGAATTTTAGCACTTTTGAGTAGCCAGTATGAGCTGGGTATTTGACTCTGCAGGCCTCTCACACCAAGACAGGGCCTCCTCCCTGGTTTTCATTCTAAAGCAACTTTACCAAGCTCCAGGCCTTCAAGACCTTCCGTCATCTGCCCCACCTGCTGCCCTTCACACACTTACTGTTTTGGCACAATTTCACCTGCTGCTCCTCTTGCCTGCGCTTCGCTCCCCTGTGGTGCCTGAGGACTGAACCAGGGGACAGCTCTGCCTGGAAGGCCTACCCCTGTCTCTGTGCCTCTAAGTTATTTCCGTACTTCAAGGCCCAGATTTAATAGTAACAACACTGAGAAAAACATGACTGTTGACCAGGCACCAGGTACAATACCAAATTGGACCCACCTTTTCTTATTACACTATACACTTCAGGAAGTTCCCCACCTCCTTTCTCCACCCAACATAACTTAAAGTATCTTTCCATTAATGGAAATAACCTTCCCTTCTTTCTACTCCCTTTGCATTTAAGGAATACCTTTCTGGATCGTGTGCTACTGCTGTTTAAATATTCATTTTATTTCCCCTAAGCTCTTCGGGGGCATGATCCTCTGTGATTCATCCTTACTCCCCAGACGTGTCAGGCACAGTCCTTGTGCACATTATCCCAATGAATATTTATCAGATACGTGCATGCTTATATTCATGCAATGAAACCTAAAAAAGAAAAGTTTTGTGTTTGCTGTTCCATTTTCAGTGTTGTCCTTTCTGCTTGCACTTTAGAGAGTGGATATGGTTAGCAAGACAATGAGAGTGTTTCATGTTGTGGTGAAGATCCTGGATACCAGAGCCACATTGCTCTGGGTTTAAACCCCATCTCCGCCTCTTCCTAACTCTGTCCCCCTGGTGAGTGACTTTAACTGTTCTGTGCCTGTTATCTCAGCTGTCACATGGTGGTTATGAGGGTCTATAGTATAAAGGTAAGGATTAAATGAATGAAGACACAAAAAAGGCATTTGGAACAGTGACTGACACGAAATAAGCTCTAAAAGAATGTTAGCTATTGTGATGAGGATAATGACTTTGAACAGAGTTTGGGTGACCCTCCCTAGAAGAGATGGAAGGCCAGTTGTTTTATTCCACAAATGAGAGCTGTAAGGGGCACTCATGGATTCATCATACTATCAGCTGCAACGAAAAGAGACTGAATCTTAATTTAGCTACAAAAGATAATTTTAATTTTTTCTACAACTGAGCAATCTAAGTACCTTATAGTTTAAAGGACAATACATTAACTTTAACAAAACTCATATTAAATGCACTTATTTTTCTAGGATGGAAACACTAAAAACAACTCCCTACATTCAAACTGATGGAACATTTTATTGGCAGCCCAACCCCCACACACTCATGGGACCCACTGTAACTCCGAGAAGGCTGGCGGCTCAGTCCACTGAGGATTACCTCACCGCTCTGGCCACTCCCTCCATTGTCTATTCTCACCACAAAGCAGCTTGGATAATCCTCCTTCCAGGGCTGAGAAAGCCAAAGGCCGCCCACACAGGATGAATGCCTAACACTGGCCTCTCAGACAGCCCCCAGACCTGCAATGCGTTTGGCAAAAACGTCCATGTCACTTACATTCTGCACGTGATAAAAGCCCAGAGGACTTCCTCTGCCATTGTTTTTGAGGGGTTCAGTGGAGAATGCTTCGTCATGGCGATGCAAAAAGCTTAATTAAAAAAATAAGACACATGAACTTCGCATTACACAATTTCATCAAGATCTGTGTTTTAAGAACCTGACTTGGAGGGGTGCTTGGGTGGCTTAGTCGGTTAAAACGTCCGACTCTTGATTTCAGCTCAGGTCATGATCTCGGGGTCGGGAGATGGAGCCCCGAGCTGGGCAGGGAGTCTGCTTAAGATTCTCTCTTTCTCTCCTTCTGCCCCCTCCGACCACCCTGCTTAAAAAAAAAAAAAAGAACCTGACTTGGATTCTATGGAAAGAAGCAGTCTACTTAAGCACAGTCTTTAACTGAACCAAGTAATTTGTAGTTCCTTGTAATATACATTTTCCATTATCACTCAAACAGCATTTTAGATTTTATTTCAAAAATGACTGAAAGATAACTGACCCTGACCACTTAGCTATGTGGACACATATGCAAGAGTATCTCAGAGAGCATCAAGAGTGAATTCAGTGAATTCCTGTTTCTTTGTAGTAACATTTTTTACTGAGAATAAAAATTACAAAATCATTTTGTGCAGAAAAGATCTGGCAGATTCAAGCTTCCAAAAGGTAGTACTAAAGCCTGTTAGTGTTCTTGCCTAGGAGAGTCTCTGACGACCTGTAAAGATTAGATTTAAATGTCACCTCTTCCAGGAAGTCTTCCCTAACGCACCCAAACAGTTCTGTCTTCCCACAGCACTAGGGACCCATTTCTCTTCAATAGCAATGGTTTCACTCTTTGTAATAATGTATTTATGTGCCTGTCTCCCTGAAAGACAGCGAGTATCTCCTATAGTGCTCCAGATAGAGAAGATACTTCTGAAATACTTGTGAAGCAACAAACTGTGTTTATTTATTCTCACAGATAGTGAGTTTTTACTTCTCGCTCCCTCCCTATTAGTCTTCAAATAAACAGAAGTAGAAAATTAAAGAATACTGAATACAAAGATTTACTCCCAGACAGAAATATCCATCAGAAGGACATCCCACACCCCACAAGAGAAAAGGGGGAAAAAGGGAATACTTTGCATAGGGTAGAGAAACCAGGATTATGAACTGCCTGTCTTCCAAATCAGTTCACTGAGTGTGAGGATGGTGGTGTGCTGTCGTCCCACGTTCCCCACCCCAGACGCCACCCGTTACCCGCACCGAAGCAGTCTGGACTACACGCACCTTCGTCTGTTTGCTTTCTTCCCTCTCATTCTTCTTACCCGCCGCCCCCTCCTTTTTTTTTTTTTTTTTTTAAAGATTTTATTTATTTGAGAGAGGGAGAGAGCTCATGAGAGAGCACGAGTAGAGGGGAGGGGCAGAGGGAGAGGGAGAGGGAGAAGCAGACTCCCCACTGAGCAGGGAACCCAACTCCGGGCTCGATCCCAGGACCCTGAGACCACGACCCGAGCCGAAGGCAGACGTTCAACCGACGGAGCCACCCAGGTGCCCCTCTCCTTCTTGTATTTCTTACTCTTTTTTTCCTCTCCAGACCATAAGCTGTATATGCCGGGGCATTACTTGATTTGTGATCTACACTCCTCCAATGCTCTGCTTAGAGCAGGTACAAATATCCTGGGGTTCCACACTGGTGATGCATGAAATCATTCGTACTGCCCGACAGCTGTGTCTTCTCTGTACAGTATAGGCCAGATGAGAGTTTGTAAAAGCTCAAGAAGAATCTGGCCCTTCTTTATTTATGAGTCAACATTCCGTCTTCTCCACAGCTGACACCAGGTGGAGATGCTGCTCTCTTGCTGGAGATTTTAGGACAAAAGATCAACATAACATTACTGGCATTTCACATGCCAGTTAATCAAGTAGGTCTTTTCCATAAAATATTTCAGTTGCAGGGCACCTGGGTGGCTCAGTCGGTTAAGCCTTTGGCTCAGGTAATGATCTCGAGGTCCTGGGATAGAGCCCCAGGTTAGGCTCCCTGCTCAGCAGGGAGTCTGCTTCTCCCCTTCCCTCTGCCCCTCCCACCTGCTCATTCCCTCTCTCTCAAATAAATACAATCTTTAAAAAAATACTTCAGTTGCCTAACTGGTATAATAATGAAAGCTCAAAGCAAATGGATGATCTAGCCAACTCCATCCCCCCACGTTAACTTAGGGTTGCTAGTGAAAACACACTGAATGGGCAAAATCAACACTGGATAGATAATACTTCAACAACTGTGAGTTATAGCAAATGATATTAGTGGCTTACTATGCAGTAATCACATTTGATTCGGGACTTGGCTAAAATCTCCATAAAGGCAGTGCTTTGTCAACTGTATTAGGACCCCTAGAAGGCAGAGAGGCACATTCTGAGGGAGAGGGATGGCAGAACTCTAGAGCAACCTCCTGGTGGCGCCGGGGGCCAACTGCAGACTTCAGGAAGGAGGCGCGTGAGACAGCACTCTCTTGTACTGTGGCCCTTCATAAGTACCGAAGAGATACACTGATGTCTGGAGGTATTAAAACTTAAGACTGTCAATAAAAGTGTTTTCCAAGGGCGCCTGGGTGGCTCAGTTGGTTAAGCGACTGCCTTCGGCTCAGGTCATGATCCCAGGCTCCTGGGATCGAGTCCCGCATCGGGCTCCCTGCTCAGCAGGGAGTCTGCTTCTCCCTCTGACCCTACCCCCTCTCATGCTCTCTCTATCTCATTCTCTCTCTCAAATAAATAAATAAAAATCTTAAAAAAAAAAAAAAAAAGTGTTTTCCAAGGGGGGTCATGAGAAGAAAAACTCCAGAGTTCCAGAGGGTTATAGGATAGAAAGAGCTTGTAAGTGGCTAAGGAATGAAACCTGTCACATCTTTTCTACATACTATTCTTCAGTTGACGTGGAATTTTACTCTCATTTATTTGTTTTTTTCCCCCAAGTACTGAACAAGCATAATTGGTAGCTGGATAATTCATGGCCTTCAGACTTGTTTATTAGTAAGCTATTTCCCCATGAAGAGCATTAAAAAGATGAATAAACAGGCTTATCTACATCAGATCCTGTATTTCCAGCAGAGGGGGACAGGCCACAGTGTCCAGATACAGAAGATACTCCTGAAATATCTATGTGGTCAAAATGGCAATACCAGACTGCTTCCTGTTGCTTTTTCGGCAGAGATAATACAGAAAGAAATGCAAATGCTCGGTAAAGCAGCTGACAAAGACCAACTTACACCAAATTACTCCCTATATAAACCTCTTAGCAGGATGCATGGTCACACTCCTCCCCACAGCGAATTCTATTTCATACCATTTTAGGTTTCTGGTTCTTATTCCCCCCTGGAGTGAAGAAAGCTGTTTTATTTCAGAAACTGGTGGTAGTTTCCCTCTTGAGAGTGTTAACACCTCACATATGTAAAGTAAAGCACCTGGTGGTGCACAAAGGATGTCACCTGGGTCAACAGCTAGGTAGGCAGGCAGAGGGGGGCTTACTTGAACTGACAGAAGATATCTGCATACTCGGGGAGGATCCCACTGGCCTGTAGCACAGTTACTCGGAAAGTGAAGGCACTGCCCAGTTTCAGGTGGTTGCCGATCTCTTCAGAAAACCCTTCCATGACCATCTTACCATCCAGCAAAGTGCCTGACTTCAACTCTAAAGAGGGTCAAATGAATACACATATGGTTCAAATATGGCACAGAACACCTTTCAAAGAGGAGAGAGGAGGGCATTCTTTCCATTCCTAGTCGATGAAAGCAACTATCTCCCTTGACAGTGGTCAATATTTTGCCCTCTTTGAGAATGTCCCCAGTCTCCCCAGTCACAGTAAACTCTGTCTACGTACCCAAGTCATTCATTCGATTGATTTCTTCTGGAGGAGTGATGACCTCAGAACTCTGACCCTGCCCTTCCACAATCCTCAGTTCCTCCAAGGACAGACCAGAACGAGTCATTGCAACTGAAGAAAAGTCATTCTGAAAACAAGGCAGGAACAGGTAGATGATCAAGTAGCACAACAGCATATTTCCCCCAATCTCCTTACTTAATGTCTATTTGCCCGACAAGCAACAGTGACTGGAAAATTATGTGGATTAAGAGCTGCCTGAGAAAGGGCAATACAATAAAATATAAGTAAGGACCTTTACCTCTGTAATTGTTAGACATGCCCTGTGTTCTATGGAACAAGCCCGTAGTTACCTGTCTTTTGTAGTTCTAGGTAGAAGAATTGTTTCCTAGTGAACGTCCTCCTTATAAACCTGTCTTCTACTTTCTCCTTCTAGGAGTTTTTCTCTCCCTGTAAGGCTTCTCACCTGATTAAAGTACTCGTTATCAAAAGATATTTTAGCTGTTCCTGATTGTCGAATTCCGGAACCATAATCAGGAGCTTCTTCATCCGCTAGAAAACAACAACAACAAAAAAGAGAAGGATCAAATGAGACTACATATGGGCCAGATGAATGGCTCTTGTTGGATTATGAAATAAACAGGAAAGTAGTGGAGTCTTCCAGTTCGAGGACTTTAGTAAAAGGAGATGCTAAACAACCTTTTGCTTCAGAAAGGAAATGCCGGAAGCAGCAAAGTCACAGGGGCTGCTCCCAACTCTACTCAGGTATATTTACCACCCTGCTTAGCTCAAATGAGACTAGTTAATAAAGAATTGGTTTTATTCTTGCTATTGTTCAAATGTATACCTAGAAACACTGATCCTTCACTTGGCAAGATGATGCTCAATACCACCCAACAAATATTTGAAGGTACTCAACTGTACCTGCACAAACTTTCATAAACTCAACCCTGGTGACCGTGCCACAGATTTCCACAGGGAAAAGCTGAGAGGTCACTCCATACCGTATGGCATTTGGAAATTAAAAGAGAAAATGTATAGGAAATGGCCCCATTCTTTCCTCAGAATGTAGGCTGGATCATGGAGAAGTGTAAAATATCAAAATCTTGATCCATAAACAACAAAACAGTAAAGGACAGAAATGTCTGGCACAAGTACCGTGAGAGAAAATTAAGCAAGAAAAAGTCCTGAATAACCTTTGTTACTTCTGAAGCAGTTTTATAAATGACTTTCATAAGAGTTGTTCTTTATGTCAAAGGAAATCCCTTCATCCCATTACTCCAAAATAGCTGTGGCCCAGACTAAACAGAATCTATTTATGATACTGGGGAATAATAACTAAAAGGAAGCAATAAAAGCTTTCTCCACGACAGACAAGCCATCATGCAACTGAAGTGTGGCCCATACAGAACTGGCCTGCTTTGTCTCTAGGCAAAGAATCCAAAGCTCTCACCCGGAAGAGGGTCACCTACCTGCAATGGCCTGCACAGCCACACGCAGAAATCCCCGTACTTCACCTTTCTCACTGACAATGGCCACCCTATGAATCAGGGGCACAGGATACAGCAGGTTGCTCAGGTAAACAAATGCCCTAGAGACAGAAACCGGGAGACAAACATCTGAGCACCCCGCAGACAGAGAAGCTGGCTTTCAGATTTCCCGAGAATACCTTCAGGGCTTCTGGGCCCTGTCTTAAGGCCACCTTTCTGTTCTGCACTACCAGACTGCTTCCTGTTGCTTTCTTGGCAGAGACAATACAGAAAGAAATGCAAATGCTTCGTAAAGCAGTCGACAAAGACCAACTTACACCAAATTACTCCCTATAAAAATGACCAGTTAAAAAACAAAATGACTAGTGTAGGTAGAAGAGTAACAATTGGAAATAGACTTTCAAGATGACTGTCCTATGGATACTGCTAAGGGTGGAGAAAAGGGAACCCACTAAAGAACTTAACCTTTTAACATAATGGCGTTTTATTTCTGCCAAGAGATAAAACAGAAATCAGGAGACAAAAAAGGCAGGAGATGTGCCTGAAATACAGTTAATAACTCTAAAATAGATTTCAAGTCACAGCATTATGGAAATGCTCTAGGAAATAACTATTATTTTCAGGCAAGTGACTGACACGAGCAGAGAGGCTTTGCAGCCAGAAGCTTCTGAGAAGCAAGCTTATAGGAGACTCTGGCTGGACACGGAGACAAATATCCAGGGAGAAAAAGATAGCTCATCCCTAAAGGACTGCTTTTGTTCCTGGAGTCCAAAATTTAACTCAGAAATGGAAACACAAAAGGGAAGTTACAGACCTAATATCGTCTATTTCAAACAAACTAGCAGAGTCCCATCACATTTGTACTCTTTTTACTTCTTTCATTATTTTGTATGTATTAATTTTTTTTAACTATAAAAAGGTGATCACAAAGCTTAGGTATGTTCATTTCAATTAGTGGATGTGATACAGAATCTAGTTCCTACTGTTACTCTTGTCTTCCCACTGGGTATATGCTGATCTTTGAACACAAGGCAAGACAAAGAGTAAACATCTGCACGAAGAAATCAAACATAACTGAACGTGACACATATGCCTGTCTGCTGCTTTTCCTGTTCTGAATCTACATTAGAACAAAGAGAAACGGGAAGATGGAGTGGATGTGTGGGATTTCAACTCAAAGTAATGAAAAAAAATACTGGAAACAGACAAAATACACCACAGAAAAACACGTTAATAAAACTTTAAGAGCATAAATGAAATGTGAATGAAAAGTATAACAAAAATAACTGTAAGTAAAACACTGAGTCAGATCAAATGAAGTCTACTTCCCTTTCAGTCTGCTCCAAAGGTGGGGAAGGAAATGCTAAGAAACAGAGGGTTAAAGCTTTGTTGCATAAAAATTAAAAAATGAAAAGTCTTCTAAAAAGGATTACAAACAAGACTCTCAAAAATCAGCTACTGTGACAGAGTTTAAAGACTAAGAATTTGGCATATGGTACCAAACAGACTGCTTCACTTCCCAAGTCAGCACCATACAGACCACCTTTGTCTCTGGCATTCCAGCCACACGTGCTCACTTTCAATGCCTCGCCATTACAGAGTCACAGCACATACTTGTCCCCTGCGTAGAGTCCTCCCTGAACTCTACTACCCACCTCACACCTTTGATTTCATATCTGCAGGTCTTATTCTGAACACTCTCATGACAGGCTCCCCCAGTGTTAAGTGATCTCAGTAACACACATGATTCCATCATTGCTATGATTTTCATTTATGTGGCTGTTTAATTTGTCTGTCTCACCCACCAGACTGCAAACCCGTGAGAGCAGGAATCATGTCTGATTTTGCCTGCCACTGTCTACAGAGGGTCTGGCATATTTAACGAGTAAATACACTCAACGTTCAATCAACATGATTGAGCATCTATGTACATAAGTGAATAGAAAATGATTTGTCCTCTATCTTTAAGTAGAAGTGGAACATTTTCCAGAAAAATGGGTTACAACAGAGGTAGAGAAGCAAAGCCATCCAACTTTATATACTAGGTTGATTTTTCTAAGATAATACTCAAGATGGATATTAACTATAGAGAACATGTTTAGGTTCCTAACTATACTTAATGTGTATAGTTGTTTTTATACTTACACCAGGAACGCCTGTTTCTGATTTTCAAAAAAGCTTCCCACTTGAAGGCACTGCATATCATGTTCACACACGCATTACAACAAAGTACTGTTTGACCACACATTAAAGACAAGAATCTCCTTGCCACCTATGGCAATGGTCATTCCAAAGGTGAAAGGACAAAGTATTCTTGTGTATTTCCCGTCTTAGAAAAGAGACTTCTCTGATTCTCTGGCTACGCAACTGCATGGTCACTAGCCAGCTCTCCCTGTCCTATTATCAGAAGACGACAGCCTTAGCCCAAAGTCAATGCCGTAGAAGTTCTCCTCTGAAGTTTTTTGAGCTGGAATTTTTATAAATACTCTGCATTCTTGAGAGTCCTTATACTTTGACCTAGCAGACTGAAGGAGAACAGGAATGAGAGAGGGAAAGATGTAAAGGGTATATTAGCATAAGTTCTGTGAAGTTACATCAAAAAGGGAAACAAATTTGGTCAACATAAAGATAAGACAAATCAGCCTAATTATGGTTCTAGTTACAGAACACAATGTCGGTTCAGACTTAGATGTCAGGATAACCATCTTTTGCCCCCTTTTAACCCAGAAGACTAGCTTAAATATTTTACATTTCATCCCAAATTATGATGGATGGTTCATAACATCCCAGCATGCCATAAGAGAATAGCTAAAGGGACAAGCTCTTTTCATTTTCATATAAAAATTCACCAGAGGCAGCCAAGGCCAAGAAACAAAACCTACAAATGGAATTTCACAAGAAACTGGAAAATTTTACAAGTGAATTGTATTTGCAATTATGCGCCAATATGGGAAATCCAATCCTGCCAATCACAAAAACAGGAAAGAAGTTACTTCTCTTACACATACAATGACCACTACATATCTGGGTGATGTTGCATAGTTATCAATTTTGATTGTAGATGAGAAATGTAGTCAAGGGCAAAAAGTAAAAGAGCTATCCTTCATTTTACTGATGGCCATGATTTCACCTCCTCCACTAACCTCTTCATCGCAAGTTAAAGTTAAGTTTTGGAACCTGGGAAGCCGAACATATGGAAATTACTTGAAAATCAAAGCAAAGCTGATTGCTTTATACCTACACTTAATCTGATATGATTAAAATGAATAAAACAACAGAGAAAATAATGCATGTGTATCTTAAGCCAGTGAATGTCCATATTAAGTGGGATTCTGACTTAAGTTCTCCATACAAATGACTCAAAATACAAATGCTTTGGAGAACTCTTAACCAGGATATTCACTTTGCTAGTGTGGATGACAGAATCTGAAAGATAAAAAAGATCTTTAAGGCTCTCTGCTTTCCTACCTAACTCCTCATTTATACTTGAGAACCCAACAGGCCTCAGTTTCAGTTGAGCTGACGTTAGGCGTCAGACATCTCTTAGGGTCAGTGTTCTTCCCAATGTGCCATGTAAGACGAAACTACATAGTCCTCCCTGTGCAATGGTGCATAACACAGACGAGCAGCATTAGAAGCTGCGCAACTGGCACCAGGACCAAGCAGTTTATGAACAGAAACTTGGTTCTAACTTCCAACCCTTTTAGAACACATAGCCATAAAATAAGAAAAAGCACTATGGTCCCATTATTTGTACATAGAACTACTGTTCTCAGTTTTAATATAAATCAGCTTCTCTGAAATTCTAAGCATCTATTCCTGGCAATACACCAACAGAAAACAATATTCATGGCTGCACAATCCCTTAATGTTTATTCATGGAAAAACTGAATAGATGTCCCTCCGGTATCATAAAACCCCGAGACTGTCTAATATTAAATTACAATCCATGGTCATAATTGAGGCTTTCATGTCTACCAGAGATCTTGCCTTTCCCTCTTTCCACCACAGTAATCGTATGCTACAGTAGTTATTTAATCCTTGCCAGGTGACCAACGTCACACCATGAGCTCAGTGCTAGAACTTTACCTCCCTACCGGCTCAGGATATTTGCCACGCTTTAATTTTTAGAGAACTGGTGTTTATCCGTTTAACACTGGCATAATTCCCTCTTTTTAAAGGACTCAGCAATATGTGGTTCTAATGCACCGTTAAGATCCAATTTCATACCTTAAAACCTGGACACACTTTTTGTTAATGCAGCGCGTGCTGCACTGTTGAATTTGTAATAAAATTACTTCAGCATGAAGACTGGGTGTAGACAAAGACCCCAGTCCAAGGAGCGTGCACGTGAGAGCTCTGCATCACTGACAGATGGAGTCAGAGACAAGGCCTGTTTGGAAAACCAAACTTAACACAAAGCAGTTTCATGTAGTGCTGAACAAATATCCATTGTTGATGGTGTCAAAAGATAATTTCATGAGATTCATCATTATAAAACCTATAGGTAAAATTTTGGCAGAAGCCAAAGATCTACAGATAGGCTCAGTGAAACTGGCCAAAGAAAGGCATCCATTTCAGACAAAAGGTAACTTCATGTTCCGGATTCTTTTTCTGACTCAAAGTAAGTAAAAAATAAACCTAACACTACTCCTTTATATTTACTTATTTTTTAAGATTTTTAAGTAATCTCTACACCCAACTTGGGGCTCCAACTCACAACTCAGAGATTAAGAGTCACACACTCTACTGAGTGAGCCAGCCAGGCATCCCCTTTTTATTTATTTATTTATTTATTTACTTACTTACTTATTAAGATTTTATTTTTAAGTAACCTAACACTACTCCTGATTCCACTTTTGTCCTCTCGATTCCTGCCGGTGTTACACATCCTTTAGTCTAACCTTGGCCTTGCTCCGATCTCCTTCTCATGTCATCCCCATATGCTTCTTCGCTCACATTCCTACAAAAAGGAAGCATCAGAACATAGTAACATTCTTTGACCTTGTAACATTAGACTCTTAGCTTTAATTACTTTCTCCTCTGGGGTTTTCTCCTTCAGAGGGAAAATACTGGGCAGTTTAAGACAGGGGTCCTCTGCGTAGAGCCTTCACACATTGCGGTACGCCGTGCCAAGCAGACTGCGTACCTCACAAACACTGCCTGAGGGCTCTCCCTCGCCAGATCAGCATGTCACAAACTGAATCTGCTAAGGAAAGATCATCCAAAATTGCACAAGGAGCCTCTTTAAAGCAAGAGCTGGTCCCTTTTTGCCCTTCTCACAATCACCTCACCAACCTTCCCACTAAAATGAACCATGGGGATCGGTCGTAAAACGGGTCATGCCCGTCACTGAAGAGATCTGATCCCTCCTCCGTCCCTGCGTCAGAGCCGGTGTCATCCACGAACGCCTCATCATCAAAATCCTCCATTTCATCTTGCTGCTCGTCAGCCAGCTCAGTGATGTCGGAATCGGCCGTGGAAAAAGTGGGGGAGGGTGTGCGGTCAGCAAGGCGCTCATTCACACAGCCGTGGAAAATGGGGGAGCTAGACACCAGGGAAGACGCCAAGGGACACAGCCAAGGAAGGAGAGAGGAATAGTTGGTTAAACAGGAAGCTATACGTGTCAACAGGACAGAACCCACTGGGGAATCAACACAATAAAAGCAAGTGGAAAAGCAAAAGGATAATATGAGCATAAAACATCTGGTTCAGGTGAAAGGAAATAAGGACTGGTCCTTAGAATAAGAAAAGCAAAGGAAATACATGAGTAGAAGATCCAGATCCCAGGTAAATAGGGTGTTGTAAAAATGTTTATATTTTCCAGTTCACACAAAAGATCAGCAGCCAGGCCTCAAAGGAGCCACTCAACATTTGGTGAAATAAAAAAGATGATCTTTATTCCAGTTCCCATGGCATCTCGGAGCAGAAAACAAAATGGATGGAATGGTATATGGCAAAGCAAGTACGTGCCTTGTTTGGATAAGATGTGTTTGGCCAATTCAACTCTTTACAAACACTCCACTATCAGAGTGGAATGGAACAGATTTAACTTCATTTCTACAAAATACTATGACTTCAGCTCCTCCCGAAATCATTAAGCTCAAAACTTGCATCTCTCTGCTTTTTAAATTCTAAACTTCTAAGAACTTGGACTCAGTATGGATTCACAGGGGCACTACTTGTTTTCATTACAAGTTGGAATTTATGTACACACAAAAGAGGCTCAGGCATATGACCAAGATATGCAGCTGGCTCACCCTTGGCAAAGACTAATGTAAGATAAATTGCCTTAAAAAAAATGAGGAGACACTGGATCAAGGAGAGGTTGCAAGCTGGTAAGCTGTAAGTCATACTATGATTTTAAACTGTGCAAGATATAGACATAGGCTTTCTTTTTCTTTTAAATTTATCCTCTTCAACTGTAAGAGGCAGGGAAGGCTGTCAATTACTCCGGATGAAAGATAAGACTTAAGTGAGCACACTGAATAAAACAAAGGGAAGTACACCAGGTGACACATGGCTGTGTCTGAGTGGATGAGATTACACGTGGAGCATTTTTGCACACTTTTTCTTTGAACTTTCTGTAATATCTGCTGAGGTTTTAAACAAAATCATTTACTATTTAAAAAGAAGACATTGATGAAATCATCACGTACCTTCCTACCAGTTTGAACCAATGGAACCGGTCATAAAACGGATCACTGCCAGTCACGGTGGCTTCGCTTTCATCCTGGGCACCCGAGGCCACCTCACCTGCCCTGTCATACATCTCTCGCATCAAATCCAGCCTCTGCCTGCATAAACATAAAGTGCACTGGCTTAATATCATGAGATTGCATTAAAATTTCACTTTGGAAGTATACTCCATGCAAGATTAAAAACAAAAAAGCTGCTCCCACCATTTGATGATATTAAAGAAGGATGAAGGTCAAAAGTACAGGAATTCAAAACACTCAGTATCCAAAGTGTCTGAGTCTAGAGACAAGCCACCAAAAGGAAAAAAGGCTAAGTAACCTCCACTGAATCATAACAGAAATGTAGTTCAATGGTATATGACATCTCAAATATACTGAAACAGTAGGAAATACCTCACCATATTACAGGCAAAGGAAACCACATTATAACTTTCCTGTTTATGACCGATCATCAGATCCAGAACAGAAAAGATGAATAATTACTAGACCCAAGATAGAACTAGCTACTGGAGAGCAACAGCATTTAGCACCACAGAAAAGGAAGCAATAGGGACATCACAAGGCAGAGAGTTTGAGGGAGCCCACCTGAGCAATTCATTATTATTTCCTAAATAAAACAACTGGTTTTATGAGGAATGTTTTCATACTTGAGTTTCTCCAAAGACCAATAGTGTGTCGCTCCATTCTTCAGATCCTGGACTTCTACTGCCACCACGGTACGAGGAAAAGGTCTGTCTTCATGAGTTTTTTCCATCTCAGTGGGAAGCAATTCCGGAGGCAAAGGGGAGTACAATGTATCCGTCAGCAGAACAAACTGAAACTGCACCTACGTGGAAAGAATAAACCATCCAAATGGCCTTTATGTTTTCAGCAAGTCAACTTCAGAAACAAGGCAATATAATCATGCCCCACGGGAAAGAGGTCAAACATGTATCACGCTCAACAGACAGCTTGTGATTAACTGGGGGAAAAATGGCCACTTGTATACTAGCTGTAAAATAATCCCAATTTCAAATTAAGCTATTTACAGACTTTGTTCTCCTAGCCTGGCGCAGTGTTTTTACACAAACTAAAATCTCAGTACATGTTTTGGTTGATGGAATTTACACAAGAGAACAAAACTTGGACCCACAAGGACACCTCTAGCCTCTCACTGAGGTGGGTGCAGAAATGTCACAGTTTTCCATCCTAAATTCAAGTATCACAGGTGCTACTCTTAAAAGTGTTTATTATATGGTAAGTGCTTTGTGTGCACCCTGTCATTTATTTCTTGCTACCGCCCTATATTTTCACCTATAAATATTAAGTAAATGCTAGGTACAGCAGCAAGAAGAAAAGACATAGTCCCCTGCCTATATTTCATCTACCTGAAGAGAGGGGTGAACATTTACAAAATGAAATGGGATGCCGAGATTGAATGAAGAAGATATCTTACCCTATTTTACAGAACTAGAATATAGGGAAGAGAATGAATCTCCCCAAAGCTGAGCAGTCTGCTCTTTCCTGCCATGTGATACTGTCCCCCGCTGTCATCCTAGTAGCCTCTAGAGCATTCAACAGTGGGACATACAGAAGAATCAATCTAAGATGTGGTGTGACGTTCTGGTAATAAGGAAAATCAGTAACATTTATTGCCTTTTACCAAGTCCAAGAGCTATTTCAGCTCTTTACATCTACTCCTTCTTTCATGCCTCACAGAACCCTAGGTGGCAGGGGCCACTGCCAAGTTCATCTTGAGGGAATGAGGGAACGTAGGCACAGGGCCATTAGGGTCAACACACAAGGTGCGCTGGAATTGGTGCCTGGCTGGCTGGCTGAGTGCAGAGGGCCCATCCGCTGCACATACCTGCCTCCCAGAACCTAGAGCAAGAAGGGCACTTAGGACTTATAGGTGCAAATGTAATGGTCGAAAACTAAAAGAAAATTGAGATTTTCAGAAACCCAAGAATAGCATTCTCCTATTAATATGTTTCCCTAGGTCGTGGGGCACCTGGGTGGCTCAGTGGGTTGGGCATCTGCCTTCAGCTCAGGTAATGATCCCAGGGTCCTAGGATCAAGTCCCACATCAGGCTCGGCAGGGAAGCCTGCTTTTCCCTCTCCCTCTGCCTCTGCTCATGTGCTCTCTCTCTTGCTCACTCTGTTTCTCAAATAATAAAATCTTAAAAAAAAAGTTTCCCTAGCTCTTGTCAGAATACAGTTTTTTCATTTGTAAATAAGATAGAAAACAAGTTATTTTAAAAATGTTGTGTAATTGGGATGCCTGGGTGGCTCAGTTCATTAAACGTCTGCCTTGGGCTCGGGTCATGACTCCAGGGTCCTGCGATCGAGTCCTGTATGGGGCTCCCTGCTCAGCGGGGAACCTGCTTCTCCCTCTCCCTCTGCCACTCCCCCTGTTGTGAGCTCTCTCTCTCTTTCTGACAAATAAATAGATGAAATCTTTAAAAAAAAATGTAGTGTAATAAATATTTAATGAGTACCTACTACGTTCCAGGCACATATGGTAAATAAAGGCATATATAACCCTGTTTCACAGCAAACGGCAGCTGAGTTCACCCAAGGGAAAGGCTAGTTCAAGATGAGAGCCATGAGCCCCCTGAGGGTCATCTGCACCTCCAGATGACCCATGGCCTCCCGCCCTTCATACCTTCTTCTTCAGTTCAACACTGATGGCGTTGGCCTCCTTCAGGTAAACAGCATTGCCCCAGAGTAAATCCCTTAATGAAGTAAACTGGTGAGACTTCCACTTCCGGAAGGCCCACTGGGCCAGCTCAAATTCATGTTGTGTCCAAGGAGCTGAAAGAGCAAATGAAGTGTAACAAATGGTGATCTCATGACTATGTAGAAATTACATCTCTCCTCTACCTCATCTCTCTTATCAAGTTATTTTTCCATATTTCTCCATTCAGCTGCTTTTGTTTTCTGCTTTTCAGTAAAGCTTACTAAATTTTGTTGATATTATGAAGGTAGTATGTACATTTTAGAGAACCTAAAAAAATCCTATTTAAAATAGTGCATGAAAGAAATAGACTTTTCTTCCTTTTTAAGAAACATATACATCTAAAAAAAAAGAAACATATACATCCAATACATGGCTTATAATGAAGAACCCTCTGGTATATTGTACAACTTCACGTAATACCTATTTTTCTTGCTAGTGCCAAGAAATAAAAACGTCATATTTTACTTTGATATTAAAAAATTAAAGAATTTAGTACATAAATTAGAGATTCTCCAAAGCTAACCTGAAGCCTTGAGGTTACTGGGAGGTTGGGTGGAGAAACAAAATGTGATGAATGTTCATACTGTATTATAAGGTAATAACAAACAATTAAGGCCCTGATTCAGCTAAGAAATTCTGAAAAACTTAAGGCAGGTAGGCATGACTAAGCAATAGGATTAGAAATCTGCCAGAAATGGCTTTAATATACGTTAATATATTCCAAAGTCCTCTCTGGGTAATCCTGGGCATAAACCATAGATCAGCAAATCAAAGAGTATCTGAACAAAGATTAAGCTCTGTATTTATCTGCAACATATACACAAGCTTCACATGTATAGTAATTTGAGACAATATATGTAAACTGCCCAAGAGACTTCTATAAGGACTGAGCTAAGAAATCTTGTGTCCTAAGGAACACAGTCAGCTCCGCTCCCACCTCAGAGAGCACAGTCTGTGTTCTCAGCATCGAGAATCTTTTGAATCACCTTTAAACGGTCTCAGTAAAATATCAATAAATGGTAGGGCCAGCTATGATCAAATCCAGCTTTGATCACAGATGAAGGGCTAATCTTATAGTACAGATCCAAAAGCTACACAGAGGGAAGTTTCCATCTCCAGATTTCACCTTCTTCCTCCTCTTCCTCCTCTTCTGTCGTCTCTGCAGCGAGGGAGCGGGTCTCAACCTGCTTCTGCAAGGCCTGCAACTTACTCTCGTAGTCCTGGATGAAAAGAGAGGAGAGGACATGTAGGAGAGGGAGGAAGTGGACGGAGGGGAGGAGGAATGAGAGCAGTGTTGGGGAAAGCAGAGAAAGCAAAAGATAAAAGAGAAGACAGAGGCAGGAAACAACAATAAAAAGACATACAGAGAAATACGCAGGAAAACCCCACAAAGCACACAAGACAGTCTCTAAGGGGTAAATGCTGAAGAAAGCGAACTGCAGTCTCTTTCTACTCCCTCAGACTCAAGAGTTCTTTATTTGGGATTGAGGTCCAGCCAGGGGCGACTCTTGAGGGGAAAAACACGTGTATCCCTTAAATTTATTTAATAGTATTTTTTTTAAAGATTTTATTTATTTGACAGAGAGAGACACAGCGAGAGAGGGAACACAAGCAGGGGGAGTGGGAGAGGGAGAAGCAGGCTTCTCACTGAGCAGGGAGCCCGATGCGGGGCTCGATCCCAGGACCCTGGGACCATGACCTGAGCCGAAGGCAGATGCTTAACGACTGAGCCACCCAGGCGCCCCTTAATAGTAGTATTTAAGTAGTATCTTCACACATCAAGGAATTCTAGAAAAAAACAATATTGGAAAATTCACCAGTATCACCAACAGTTCTGATTATCTAGCTGTTTGAATGAGAACCGTGGACTCTGAACTCTCTGTGGATGAAATATTAGTATTTTTGCAGCTGTAGTATGCAAGATGCAGCCTTCAGGTAACCAAAAGATCACAGTGTTATTAGGGCTGAAATAATCTATAGATTGTATTTATTCAAGAAAGATATTTTAAAATATAATATTATAATACAAAATGTATTATTAGAATACAAATCAGATGTATCCTTCATTTCTCCATTTACTCACTCCACGCATTCTCAGTGAGGGTGGTATCACCTTGAAGAGGGCAAAAAAAATGGTTCTTGAAGGATACAAAAATCTTACTCTTTTGATGCATAAAGCACAAATATACATACAGTATAAAAACAGATGCACTATATATCTGAGTATTAAAATTTCATGGTGGGGAGGGATTAAGGAAAAAATATTTAAAAAGATTCCTTGGAGTGTTAATGTTTAAAGCTTGTGTTATTGAAAATAAATCAAGTAAGGTTAAAAACAGAGACCTTCACATAATAGAATACCAAATCATAGCATAAGCATTGTATTTTAAGATAGACTGCCTGGGTTTCCTGCTTCCTTGGACTGACCCAATTATAGGCTGTCCTGAGACAGAGGGATTCAGTATGGCCATGTATTGTTTTCGAACAGAGTTCGCCCCAAGTTGTAAGTGAAATATTCTTCTCATTACAAAGGACCACTGAGAGCCTCCTAGCAAACTCTATTACGAAAGGAGCTCCCAGTGGCGATGCTAAGAGGGACGCAGATAGTCTCAAGGCTCATCATTTACCACTGAGTCTCACAGGGGAACCTTCTCTCATTAGAGGAGATGGCACTGAGCAGGAGCCAGACACAGCTTCAGTCAATATCGAAACACACTTTTTAGGAGACTATGTACTGTGGCAAAAAAAAATTTCAATTTGCAGGTAAAAGTTCTGCTCCTGGCACCTGCTCTTACTAGTCTTATAATTCTGGGAAAGTTAAATCCTCTCTACACTTCATTTCTGTCATCTTTAAAATGAACAGTTTAGTTCCTGACCTGTCTCCCACACAGGACTGAAGGAAGAACCAAATGATGAACCATTTAAAAATGCATGTGGAAGTCTTCTTCGTTGGTGACACACACTCTCAAAGTGACAGGCTGTGTTTTAAAAAGTTTATTTGCTGGGGCGCCTGGGTGGCTCAGTTGGATAGGCATCTGACTTTGGTTCAGGTCATGATCTTGGGGTTCTGAGATCCAGCCCCGAGTTGGGCTCTGCGTTCGGTCGGAATCTGCTTGTCCCTCTCCCACTGCCCCTCCCTCCGTTCATGCTCTCATGCTCTCTAATAAATAAAAATCTTAAAAATAAATAAAAATAAAAAGTTTATTTTCTAAGTATACCCAGCACCCAGATCTTGGTTTCTAAATACTATTCCCCACTAAAAGGAACCAGGGCTCCTTGGGAAAACAACCAATTCCAGGTCTGAAGCAAGGAAAGCACAAGGTGAGCTCAGAATATCTTGTGCCAGAAAGCACAGAAGTGTTCAAACACTGATGGGGCCATTTCCAAAGGGCACAGAATCCCAGTAGCCAGCATAAGAGTAATAACAGAAACATGATATAGCACACTGGGTATTAAAAGGACTCCAGGAGTCCACAGTGTTACTAAGAGGGAAAAAAGGGAGAAGCCCTTCTTTGCTCCCCCACAAAAGCCAGCTAATAAATAAATGCAGAGGAATGGCAATTAGAAAAACTACATTGAAGCCCCAGATGTAATGACTGAATCAGGCAAGAATCATTAATAAATGCTAAAACAACTGAGTAAAAGGTGGATGGAGAACAGAATAGTCACACAATCCCAAGTGCCACCCTAGATACCCGTTAATAAGACAGAGAAAGAGCTGGGAAATGTCACATTAAATTTATAAACTTTAACATTACTGATAACAGGACAATTGGACATTTTGTCTGCCAATGTGACATGAAATGTCACCCTGACAGCTTTCTTAAGAAACATGCTTAACCTAAATCTAATCTTGAGGAAATAAACAGACTAATCAAAATGTAGCCTATTCAAAAATACCTATGTAATGAAAGAGAAAAGAAACATCATAACCAAATGTAACACAAACTTTGCTCGGAACTGGGATTAAAACATGCACACATACTTGTAACCATTATATTTTTTAGACAATTAGGAAAATTTGAAAATGGACAGTATATTATATAATACTGAATCAGTACTAAATTTCTCGGATAGGTTAACGGTATTAAGAGAATATCCTTGATTTTAGGATATACACAGGGCAGTATTTAGGGGTAAGCTGCATCATGCCTGCAACTTACTTTCAAATGATTCAGAAAAAATACACAAATATGGGTACATGAAGGTTCATTATACTATCTTTTCAGCTTCTTGGTATGTTTGAAATATTTCCAAAATAAAAGGTTGCGGAAGGGGTAGTTTTTTTCCCTTAGAAAACCTATATGTTCTATGGGATCCTTTCAGTAAAAAGAGAAAGATGGCTGGTTTACCTAAAAATCCTCAGGTGGGAAAATGTTAATATTTTATCTTGAGGATTTTTTCTTGTTTTTCATTTTCCCCCAATTTTTTATTATAGTAAAATGCATGTAACATAAAATTTACCATCTGAACCATTTTCAAGTGCACAGTTCAGTGGTGTGAAATACATTCACACCATTGGGCAACCACGACCCCCATCCACCCCAAAACTCTTTCCATCTTGCAAAACTGAAACTCCATACCCACTAAACACTAACTCTCCATGCTCCCTTTCCCCCTCCCCTGGCAACTACCATTCTACTTTCTATGACTTTAACTATTCCATATAAGTGGAATCACATAATTTTAGTTTTTAAAAAAGATTTTATTTATTTGAGAGAGAAAGACAGAAAGAGAAAGATGAGCAGGGGCAGAGGGAGAGAGAGAAGCAGACTCCTTGCTGAGCCTGACACAGGAGCCCGATGCCGGACTCGATCCCAAGACCCTGGGATCATGACCTGAGCCGAAGGCAGACACTTAACCAAGTGAGCCACCGAGGTGCCCCAATTTTAGCTTTTAGTGATTAGCTTATTTTTGAAGCTTTCTTCAAGACTCAGTTTACAAGTTTTATTGCTCAAACTACCAATAAAAACAAAATCCTTAGATTCTGACAGTTAAGGTATGAAGATGACCTTCCCTTTAAAGGCTCTGGTTATGCTTTAGTGGTAGTAAAGCTTACATAAAAAGGTCTCCTCTAACACTATGGACCTAGAATTTTAACTGCATTTTGACTCAGGAAAATTTCTATCAGCAGTTGACAGTTCAAATATCAACACTATAACCTGAACTGGCCCTCCTCTTCCCCAAACCAGGCTGTATATGAGCTTCCAACAAGGAAATTTTGTATGTCATCAGAAAAACTCGAAGTATTGGATTTTCCTACAACAAATGGATAAACAGATTTGAATACTATTGTTCTGTTGATTTCACAGTGGAAACTAGGATAATTATGGAAAGCCTATCAAATAACAATATATCAGTAGCCTTTTGTGATTATAAGAAGTCCCAACTAGTTAGATATATCCCCGTATTTATAAAGGCACTACAGTGGCTGTTCCCACTTCTAGAATGTTCTCCCTCTCCTGCCCATCCTTGTTTTTAAGTTTACTTTGCATCAGGAACTGTTCTTAATGTTTTGTATAGGTTATCTCAATCTTCCCAATAACCCTATGAAGATGATACTACTGTTACCCTCATGTTAAAGAAGAAGAAAAAGGCTTAAAGAAATTAAGTAATTTTATAAAGATCAGAGTTAGTAAGCATGGATATGGGATTTGAACTCAGGCAACTGGATTCTAGGGCATGCTCTTTTAACCACTATCAGGTCTACTACATGCAGATGTTAGGAGAACAGTGGTCAATACGACAAAAGTCTCACTGGTGAGGGAGACAGAGATGATCAATAGTAAACAGACACAAGACACACCATGAGTTCAGTAGCGAGAAGTACTGTGAAGGAAAATAAAGATTGGTAGGTATGGGGGTTGATAGAAAGGCAAGAGGAACAGGAGGAACTTTTAGATTAGGTGCTCGGGGAAGGTCTGTTTGCAGAAAGGACATTTAATCAGAGATCTAAGCAGGCATGCTGAGAGATCTCCGGGGGGAGTGTTGGCAATGGTGATGATGCCAATTGAAACAGAACTAACAACAAGTACAATGGTCTTGAGAGGAAAAGGTGCCTGGTGTGTTTTCAGGAAAAGCAAGAAAACTTGTGTGAGTGGAGTGAGGAGCTACAAGGCTCAGGGATGCAGTTGTGAAGGAGGCAGACAGGGGACTGGGTTATGTTCGGCCTTATAGGACACGGTAAAGACTGTGGATTTCATTCTAAGGGAAGCCACTG